TCAATTCCTCGAAGCTCTTTGAAAATCCCGTTCAGGGTTCGGTTCGTCTGGACTGGCCGTCGGTTTCGACGAACTGTAGGGCTCGGTAGATCCGTCGTTGTTTTTGGTGTTACGCGGCAAGTCGTCTGCACGACGTGGCTGCGTAGCCATTGCACAACGTGTCTTTAAATTGGGATCGCGCATAGTGATTATTTGGCTGCCGTCGGCCGCGTTCTTGATATTGCTTTCTGTCGCGATATCAAACGGTCTGCCGAGCAACACCTTATAAGCTGGACTTTCCAAAATGTGCACCTGCAGGTAGACCAAGATGGTCCCAAACCTGAAGGGTACATTTCTCGCTAATCCCAGTGACTTAGAGATAGATCCATTTGCGCTTTCCATATATATGACGACCTTTGGGTCCCAGCTCAATTGTGCGTCGACGGCTTCTGAGAAAGCCATCGATACAATCTGAGATCCACTGTCTAGGATGCAGTCCGCGTCGAGACGCGCGTTAATCCGTCCGTTTATTGTTCTGAGAGCAGCTGACGAATCACCAACATAGACATGTCTTGGGTTCTCATTAGAGGGTATCGACTCCAAGTACATCTCATATGGATCCGTCGCGACAACTGCGCCAATGGGAATTTCTCCTTCAACTGTGTTATGATAGAACACAGGTTCGGGCAATTCCTTAGCACTGACTAGGTTGTAGCTCAGTTCTCCATCCCAAACGTCTTCAACAACGCGACCAGTTTCTTGAAGCATGGACTTCTGAACCGGTACTCGTTTCTTCGAAGAGTCCTTCAGAATGGAGTCGCGAACAGTCCCCGAAACTGCTAGGAGTTCACCCACAGTGACGTCGACTGACGCGTTTTTCATTTTGTCGTAGACTGCTTCTGCCACAGCCTTCTTTTGAATCGGTGCACGCAACTGGTATTTATCTGGAACGCGCGCTTTTGAAGAATGTACTGGTTCTTGTAGAACGGGCTTGACTTTCTCAAACGGTAGTTCCTTTCTGTTTTCGACGTTGTCGCGCACTGATTCCTCATCATCGTCGCTATCACTAACTTCTTCAATAGTCACAGGTTTTCTCGGTTTCTCTCGTCGCTCAGCTCGTTTATCATGGTCCTCAGAGGGCTTGGCTGAGTTTGTGGGTTTAGCCCCCTTCCTTGAACCATTTAGAAACCCGAGTTGTTATCGTCGCGCTCAGGTTGGCTATTCGCACCACGACGGGTTTGAATGAACTGCTCCTGAGTCTGAGGATAACCACTGTTCATGTTGTTGAAGTAGCCGGCCATGGCGTCGGTCATGGCTTTCTGCATGAATTGGCCCATGGCACTTTCCATTGCATTGCTGGTTGAACCAGATGCAGTTCGTTGAGTCTTTGGCTCAGCGCGACTTTCTGGAGTTGGCCGCGACGACTTCCTCTCATATTGGATGAGTTGACTACGAAGGGAGCGTATCTCATCTGCCACTTCTTCAGGGTAGTCGGACATATCATCATTGTCGCGACTATCGAACTGATCCAAGTAGTAGGAGTCCTGGAAGTTGACGGATTTGCCCTTCTTCTTCCAGTAAGCCTCTACTCGTTGTCCCTGAGTCCCTTCTCCATTTGGTAGGAAACTGTCGTCGAAGAGCCTCCACATCCCTTTGGTGTCGACTTTGAGAAGGTTTTTCTCAATGTGAGACCTCTTGAGCGGGCACTCGTTCGACCAATGACCAGTTTGTCCACAGTAGCGACAATCGTCGTTCCGTGCGGCAGCTCCTCCTTGTGCGCGACTTTCAAAGTGGGGCACAGAAGAGTTGTTGCCTACTGGCCGCGACCGCTGTATGGGCGCTTCGCGAGCAGTCTGTACGAACGTCTTCAGCGCTTCCTGCAACTGAGTCTGGAGCTCTTTTTGGTGTAGAAGAAATGAGTCCTTCAAGTTGGAAATCGAGTTTTCCAACTCCTCAACCTTAGCATGGTTGGGTGGACTAGTCTCATAGTCGAAGCGAACCTTAGGAGGTCGCGCGATTATGGGAATTTCGTCTTCGTTACTCAACGTCGACGCCATTTCTTCCGCCATCGTCATTAATTCTTTTAGCTGGATGGGGTCGTCCTGCCGATTGACTCCAGTCGCGGGGACATTAGCGTTTGCTATCCCGGCGCGAGTTTGATAGCGCTTATTGAATACCTGACTCGTAGCCAAAGCATTTCGCAAGACGGTACTGAACTCAGAGTCCAAAGTACGCATGTAGCGTTCACACGCGACTTTGTTGGTGATAATGGCAGGAGGGACTGACAGTCGCTTGTAGTGACTATACATTTGAAGGCCGAAACGCTTCAAATCTCCCTCATCCGTGATTTTGATTCCACGGTTCTCGCGACAGAGCCTGTCTAGATCTGCCATGGTCCCCGTTTTTCGCTTGGACACCTCAGGGTATCCTTTCAATATTTCGGCCTCGAACTCCGCGACAGTTTTCGTGTCGTCGGAATAGGTATCGAGACCTTCCCATACGTCCATCACTTGCCGCGACGGCAAATAACGGATGTACATGCTTTTTGCTTGTTTGACATCTGTGATGCCACCATCCTCCACGATCTGCGCGCAGTGACGCAAATATGCCTCAATCGACAGGGGATCCTTTTCATCAAGTATAGGTCTACTTGTGTCCCAAGGTTGGGGGATTTTGAACCCAGTCTTTGGAGCCATAGTTGTCGCGACTGAAGTCACAGGGGAAGTAGGGATGTTGTTAGAATTCGTGTTTGTAGCGGTGACGCTACTTGACAATTCTGAGAGGGTTTGTGAGCTAGTCTGAGATCGACTGATTGTCGTCGAACTCGAAGTAGCTGTGTCTAAAGCTGGAAGCTTCGACGTCGAATTCACTCTTTGTTTTCCTTTTGCCTTGGAAGGCAAGGGTGGTAGATACAAAGGTGTTTTATGTCTTGCAGACCTTCGTGGTTTTTCGAAAGGTCCTGAGGTTGAAGCGTTTCCTTCAGTCTCAATCTCCGCTTGGTCCTCGAGAGGTCGCGCAGGAGCTTGGGATCGAAATAAACTGCTTCGCAGGATAAACCCTTGGTCTCTATCCGACGTCGCGGTAAAGAATCCGGTTTATTGATTTTTAAAGTTTATGAAACTTTAGAAGCCCCTCGCGGTGGGCTCCAGATGAAATGCTGAGGGCGTGCTCACAAGTGAATCTACTATGAAAGTAAACCCAAATATAAAACACGTTCACACTCCTCGTAATCAGCTTCTCAGTGTGTGAAAGATGCGAGGGCTTCGGGGTGGACAGAGCACCAGTATCACAACTCTCAATAGACGCAGATCCAATAGTCGCGGAGACGAAGTCGACGACAAGAATTTATATATAGCAAACAATGGTGTCTCAACCAATATCTTCTATACGATCACAACCAACACTAATCCAATCCACAACAACAATATAACAAGTCAGAGCTTAATACGAAGTATTAAGATCCCTTGTAGCGACAGCGTCTAGATGGTGACGCAAAGCCCAAATATCAAGTCGACGCACTGCCAACCGATACAACCAATATACTGAGTCGACGCACTGCCAACTAGTAAACCAAAATGTCGAGTCGACGCACTGTCAACTGACACAACCAAAAGTACTGAGTCGACGCACTGCCAACTAGTAAACCGAAATGCCGCGTCGACGCACTGCCAACTAACAGCCAATATCCAATGTCCAAAACCCGAGCACAACTTGTCGACGCACTGCCAAGCAAGAAGTGTGGAACCAAAGTTCTCAAGTCGACGCACTGCCAACTGACCAAAACAACCCGAGCACAACTAGTCGACGCACTGCCAAGCTAGAGGTGTGGAACGATCTCAACAAAGCCCGAAGGCGACGACACTAAATGCCGCGACTAAACCAGATGCGGCGAATCCGACTTTCTGATGTCTCAAAACTCAAAACTCAAATCACAGTAGCTACAAGTGCTCAGGGAGCAACTCGTCGCGACCGGGCAGGGGTAGCAGAACTTCTTAGGGTGGAATCACGCGGCACGCAAATTGTACAAAACAATCTGAAATGAGAGTGATTCACAGTCCGGGAAAAGCTTCCTAATACAAAGAGACGACGTGCTACTTATACTGTCTACGACGCTGCTTAGTAAAGTCCTGTACAACTGCATAGTAGCTACGCTATCTAAGATCGGTTGCCTTTTAGGGTAATTGAAAAGTTGAACGATCGGACAGGTCCTGAGTGATCAGGACCCCGCCCCATAGTCCATATGATACTTTTGATGTGGGTCAACCCACCGCGTCATACTTTTGGAATACGACGTGCTGGATTGGCCAACGGGTATGTCTTGGCATGTGAGACCAACGTGGGCGCCCCAAGAAGCCGTATGGCTCTAGGCACGCCAGTCGCCTCCCACATGGCTCGGTTCACGGATCTAGCCGTATCGATTTTAGTGTGTTTGAATATGGGCGCGACTCGCCGTGACACTTGGAAGTGTCGCCGCGACGCGTCCACAATGTCCCGTGATCGAATGGATCCTGACATGTGACAAGTCGTCGTCGTGGCATGATCTGAGGAAAACGTCCAACTCAAAACCGGGAGTTGCCGCGACAAGATGGTTTAAGTCTTGTAACGCCAAGTCCTGTCCAGTAGTAGTTCTATTATTGAGAACGTCGCGCATTGCTCAGCCCTTCAGCCCAAGTTCCCATCTGCAGAGAATGACCCTTATTGAGAAGTCGACGCAACGACATATCCCTTTTTGGGGAATGGTCGCGGTCCCAGCGTTCGTCACTAATGGCCCTGAGCCTGGTGTAGACTCATAAGACCAGTTCCACAGTAGTGGTCTGACTGCCTTGCTATCGTCGACACTATCCACAGTCGTCGACTGGGCAGTAGACCCATAAGTCCTACTGAGCGCAACACTGTTAACCGCGACACGATACACCGAGTGGTTCAAGAGTAAACTCTGTAAAAAGCGCAAAAATACGCCCTTACAGAGCTGGTGCAGAGCGCGTCTGGTAGCCAGCCTATCAACGGATGGAATTGCTTCGATGTTAGCGGGAAATTTGATGCCACGACCTCCAGCAGTTCTAGCGTCCACCATCGCGGTAACTTACATCGGCGTTGGCAAGCTCCCCAAAAACTGGCTCCTATCCACTTTCCGCGTTCGCCGACAAGTCGTTCACGAAGCTCTTCGATGGCTCAAACGGAATAACCCCAAGTACTACGGACATATTGAGATCGATAACGAGCGCTTAGCAGCATTACCTGAAGATGATGTTCCTCTGGAGATATCTTCCCTCTTGCGTCAGAGTGATGATGTCGCAGCCGTTGTGCAGGAGAGCGACACGTACGTTCGTGAGCATCACGTCGATGAACAAGCAGAAACGTTAGAAGGTAAACAAGACACTCACCAATAACATCAAAGTCTGATGCCATTCGCTGCCCATAGCACACGAGTTGGATGGATGGAGAGACGACGGCGCAGGACGCTCAGACGATGAAGACGATGATGGAGGTGCGTATCCAGTCACACTTCCCACCTGACTAGCTCACATATTAAACAGGCCCGGATGTTATACCGTTGACGGTTACTGGCACAATCGACACAGACTTGTCTTCTATGTCCACAAACGAAATGATGCAGTGGGGACTATCGAATATGTGGAACTCAGGACAAGAAGGTGTTTATGCGGTGCGACACGGATCGAAGCCCGTCAGTGACTTTGGGCGTCCACCCCGGGACGGCGGCCCAGAACCGGCCGACCCCAACCGACCCAACTTCTTCGAGCGCGCTTTTCCCTGCCTGTTCCCATATGGTGTAGGGGGTTTGGAAGCTGATCGGCCCGTCGATGTCACATTCGCTGAACACGTTAAGTGGTCTCTCCAATACCATGACCGGCGTTTCCGCCGTCACGAAACATACCCTTTCGTCGCTTTTGGCATCTCACAACGCCGCCAAGCTCTGCTTTCAGCTCGCTTACAAATGCGGCGGAAAGATTTTGACAAGGATGCTCGCATACTGAGCACAATTACTGCTGAAGCTCTGGAAAAGTCGCGGCAAGAAGAACAACAGAAGCTACCAATTTCAAATCCCGCTGTGCGATTGCTCCGCCGACATATTCATACCGCTGTTGGTCGCGTTCAAGGGTCGAACGAATCACGCACCGTGTTGCGCAGTCAAGTCTGGTCCACTACACTCTACACAGGACCGTGGAATCTATGGATCACGATCAACCCGTCGGACATTCACGATCCAATCGCCCAAGTCTTTGCTGGCGAGCGCGTAAACCTTGACGAATTCGTATCAACAGCTGGACCCGACAGTGATCAACGCGGGCGCAATATTGCTGCAGATCCCTACGCGGCAGCCAAATTCTTCCACTTTACCATAAGAACAATCCTCGAGACTCTCCTTGGTGTCCGCGTCTCCGGCTCACAAGTACACAGTGAGATGGGTGTTCTGGGGGAAGTCGCCGCGTATTTCGGCATGGTCGAGGGTCAAAACCGGGCCGCCCTGCATTTCCACCTCATTGCTGCGCTCAGAAACGCGCCAAACGCCGACGAGATGCAAGATCTTCTACAGTCAGCGGCCTTTCGGGAAAAAATTGCAGCCTACATCAAAGAGAACATGCGGGCCTATGTCGCTGGCCTGGAGAGCGAAGACGCTGTGAAGCAAATACCCGTTGAGAAGGATATCGCATACAACCGGCCTCCCAATCCTGATTCAGATGATTACACTGCACAACTCGCCGCGTTCGAGAGACGGCTTGCTCGCACTGAACAAGTGCATACGTGCGACATTCGGCGTTGTCTGGTAGTGACGAAGTCCGGTCGATTGCGATGCAAACGTCGAGCACCATTCGCTTGTTCTGATCATGACTTCATTCATAGCGACGGTAACTGGGGTCCCAAGCGACTGTACGCCTTCATGAATGGTTGGAACCCCGCCATCCTCGTCAATGCCCGGTGCAACAACGACATCAAACTTCTTACGCATGGCGAAGATACAAAGAAGGTCACGCTATATATCGTCGGATACGCGACGAAACCGCAGCTGCGACACCAAAATATCTCCGCTATCTTGGCGAAAGGATACGCATACCACCTAGCGCGTCAAAACGAAGCCGAGGGCGAAAAAGTGAGAGCGCTGCGTGAAACGCAGCAACTCCTGCTCTTCCGGCTCATCCACGCCATCAACCGCGAACAAGAACTCGGTGCCCCCATGGTCATATCGTATCTGATGGGTTGGGGCGACAATTACCACTCACATCGCTATGTGCCGATATATTGGTCGTCCTTCGTGTCCGAACTGCTATCATCCGTTCCCGATCTGCGTTCGAACCAGTAAGTTGTTTATTTTCAAAGTCCAAGTTACTAAGTGGCCAAGTGATGATAGGCAGCTTTCGGACGAGCATGCAACGGTTCCACATTCCGAGTCATCCACGCAACCACCTGTTACCGGCGACCCATCCGCTGATGATCAAGATGCCGAGGTAAGCACAGGCCATCCCGCACTGGAAACCTGGTCAAAGAACTAACCGGATACCCAGGACGCTGAGCAGGCCAACGTGACGTTGAAAGTGGACGGTCGCGGGCGACTCTACGTCAAGAATCAAATCTCTGATTACATCTTCCGCAGTGAAGAATTAGAGTGCCATAACGTGATGGACTACTTTGTGAACACATACGAAGTAGAAGTCAGCGTTCGTGACCAAGCGTTGCCAACTGCACCCGTGAATGCTCAACGTGGACGGCCGAAAAGCACGCGCTTCCGTTACCTCCACGGTCATCCATCGCGTAACCAGAAACAGCGTGTTTTGCGATCCGGCGGACACAATACGCTTCCGAATTTCATTGGGCCATGGTTTCCGCGGCGCGATGACAATGAGCGTCGAGATTTCTACTGTGCATCCATGTTGATGTTGCTCAAGCCCTGGCGTAAGCTCGAGGACGACCTGAAGACTAATTCGCAGTCATGGCAAGAAGCTTTTGCCGCTTTCTTGGAGAGTGCACCCGAGCGCACCTGTGACCTCCTCGCAAACATCCAGTTCTACCACTCCTGCCAGTCAGCTGCACTGGCTTCTCAAGACGATGATCTGGATGATGAGGACGTGACGTACGATCAACTTCCAACGAACGAGTCCAACTTCGAGTCTTTTGACGAAGATGCCGACCAGGTAGCCATCACGCAGAACAGGATCAAAGCTCTCCTTGAGTCCCAGACGTCGAATCGCGAGTCAGCGCACGGGCGCATGGCCATTGAAATTGCGCGTCTAGTCAAACTGTTTGACGCGCAACCTGTCAAGCTTTGGCCAGTCGATTCCCATGATGCAGAACGCACTCACGCATTGCCTGCAACCGGAAACGATCTAAGCAATCTTATCAAATGGCGTAGAGAGCTTGATCGCGTCGTGCAAGTGCAAAACGACATGGGCGCCAGAGCAGAAGATTCGGAAGATGAAGAGCGCCCTGAATCCGCCCAGGAGACAAACGATGTTCTGCCGTCCGTCGAGATGATTGCCGACAACATAGAAGCGCCAGAGGAACGCAAACGCAGGTCATTCAATGGGGACACCGCCAATAACGACGTTGATCCATCGAAGGAGGAGGAAATCGTGTTACAGCCAGATCAGCAGCGTGCATATGACATAATCGTCTGGCACCTCAAGCACACGCTCGCTGGGCATGGAATGCCTCCCCTGCGCATGCTTATCCACGGTGAAGGCGGAACGGGCAAGTCAAAAGTGATCACTAAAGCCACCCAAGCATTTCGAAATCGGGGCGTGTCGAGCTGGCTGATAAAAGCGGCGTACACGGGAGTTGCCGCTTCACTCATTGACGGCAAAACTACTCATGTCATTGGTGGCATCTCGTTGAAAGCGAAGAAGATGAGCGACGCCACAAGATCGAAGCTTCAAGATTTCTGGAAAACGCGACGATACCTAATCATTGACGAAGTATCTATGCTCAGTAAAGATTTTTTCGCCATTCTTTCTCGAAACATCGGGGTTGGGAAATCGTCTAGCACGGACAAATCTTTCGGTGGGATCAACGTGATTCTTTGCGGCGACTTTCACCAGTTCCCGCCTGTCGCCAAATCGATCAATCAAGCGCTGTATTATCCTACAGGTGGTGCATTGCAAGCGACATCTAACGACGGGCGGTTCCGCACTGCTGGCAAGATGAACGACACTGTGGACACGAAAATCGGTCGTGTCGTGTATGAAGAATTCACGACCGTCGTGATATTGAAACAACAAATGCGTGTGTCTGACCCTGTGTGGTTGGATTTTCTGCGTCATCTTCGGATCGGCGATGTGGAAGAAGAACATCTGGCCATGTTGCGAACCTTGGTGTTGAATCCAAGCGAGAAGTTGGATGATGGATGGTTGGCGGCCACACTGGTGAGTTGAGTGTCAGTCTTGACCAGCTCAGCATAAGGACCATTCACCAGGTGACACCTCGGCATGGCGTGCGAATTCCATGGAATGAAGAAGCAACGCGTCGAATGTGCGCCAAGAATCGGACGCAGCTGTACGTGTGCCAAGCGGAGGACACCTACCGGGGCTCGGAGCTCAATCTGGCAGATCGTCTAGCGCTTGCCGAACATCTGACAAAACATAAACGCGGAGGGAACAGTGTGGAGAAAGAGTTGCCATACACCATCGAACTCGCGGTCGGCATGGAACTGATGGTGACAAGCAATATAGAGACCGATTTGGACCTCACAAACGGAGCACGAGGAACAATCGAGGAGATTATACTGGATCCCGACGAACCTCCCATCGGTCAGGAGGCGGTGGTACACTTGACACGCCTGCCAGTTTTCATCTTGGTCAAGTTTGAACGCACTCGAGCGGGGAAACTGTCGAACTTAACAGCAGGTGTGATACCGGTCGAACCAGGGAAAGCGACATACCATGTGAAGACCACCATATCGGGCGGGGCCAGTGTAACGAAGACCATCCGAAGACGACAGTATCCAGTTACGGGGGCCTACGCGTTCACCGACTACCGTTCACAGGGACAAACTTTAGGCCGGGTCATCATCGACATAGCCACGCCGCCGTCAGGCGGTCTGAGCCTATTCAACTTGTACGTAGCGCTGTCGAGGAGCTCAGGCAGGGAAACGATTCGGTTGCTGCGGGAATTCGATGACAAGATATTTCGGCAAAGCCACGATCCAGCACTCCTCGCGGAGGACGACAACCTGGAACGGCTGAACGCGGTAACCAAAGAGTGGTGGAAACGCATGTCCACGAACCGTACGGATGTGAATACGGAGTAATGTCGACGCAGATCAAATGTGCAAATTGCCCAGATGTTATGTGAATGCTGGACTGCACATGGACGTCGCCTTAGCTGAGTTACGGCGAAATACGAAAGACATCATCATATATGGACGGCGAAAATACCGACAAACAATGGATCAAAAGCGACGGAAGAAGACGGAATGGCAAGCGGAGAGAGCCGGCAGCTTTTTGATCGCGAATTATGGTGGTGGAGATGCCTTGACAAGCAAGGCAATCAAATGTGCTCTGCAACTCCCACAACCTGAAAAGCCTCATGGCCCCAGCTGGGTCGGCTCGGCAGAATGGGAACACAAATAGAACCGGAAGTCTGTGCTGTTAATACGCAAACTTTCTTTCATTAATGCAGTACGCAGGTCGTTTCAATCAAACCGGGGAACGAAACCAAGATCTGCACGGTGCTTGAACCTGGTCTTAATACGTTATGGGTGACACTCAGTGCCCCTACATATAGATGGTTCGCTTGACTCCGTCCAATCTCCGTATACGCCGCGAAGACCCAGACCCCGCCCCCTGCTGACACGCAGCATCAGTCCAGCTCCTTCAACTTACTATGGCGGACTACGTGAACTTTCCCCGTTGCCTGAGCCTCTTCCTCCCAGCCCAGCAGGACCTCGCGAATCGAGCGCGGAGGTTGAATTTCCCGCGAATCCTCTTCACAATCTTACAATCACGCCGTACATCCCACCACTCAGGAAGGAGAAAATACGAAGTGAGTACACAGTGGGGCAATGAGTTACTCCAACGAATTTTATGAATCAACAATTCAGAACGAAAGGCTCGACGAGAGCAAGAAAGAAGACTTGGTTCGTCCCGGATTCTGATTGTTTTTCTCGAGTTGTAATTTCTTCCTCCCTGCAGGACGCTCCGAACCAAGGTGGCTGCTGAATATCCCGGTCATCTGCATATCAGACTCGGACGATGGAGCACCAATGAAGAGACCCCGTTTGAGCGGCATACTCGATCGACAATCCCAATTTGACGAAGTCTTGGTGATAACCGATAGCGAGAATGAACTTGGCCTCGTCGATCACGTCAATGTTGTGGATCCAGACTCGGATGTAGAGATCATCGAACCGTCGCCGGTAGCATCGCACTCCTATACGAACGGATCACCTATTGGAGCGACGCGAACGTCCCCATTTGTCGTTGCTGATGCCGAGCTGACAGCGACCATCTCAGAGACACGGGACAATTCACCTCATGCGCGGTCCGACTCTCCGACTCGACCTCTCCTATTTAGTGATCCGGATTCAAGTTTCCATGAGGATGATGAGCTACTAGCGGAAACACCTCAGTGGTCAGACGACAGGAAGGAGTTGGGCCGATATTTCGACGAAGCTTTGGCGCGGCTGGAAACTCTGGAGTGCGCAGAGCTAGTGGCCGAGACCGGTCACGACTTGATTCCACCTCCCAACATCCAGCACTCTCCGGAGTTTCCGACGAATCGTTCTGTCCCGCATGTCCGTATTTCTCGACCCTGTGTCAAGATCCTATGGCACTGGCAACGACGATTTCCCCGCGATGACAGTGGGACGACGTCCAGAGACAGCACACTCGCTCCGCTAGTTGTCCTTTCAAAAGCTGCCCAAGTGATTGTGGCCACCGTGGAGACGCCAGATGAAGATTGTAGCCCAACCGAACTTGCATACCCAGACTAATCTCGTTTGTATCGATCTTGCCTTGTTTTTTTGCCATTGCTATTACTTTGTACTTGTCATTCCTTACGCCGAGTTGTTCCAATGTTCCAATGTCCCAAATGCTCTGATTCTAAGTAATTGCAGTGTGTATTGTACATTATGCGTGTCCGGAGTATGGCTATCTACAGCAAATAAGGCGATGCCTTCAGTCATCGACCTCGAGCGACAGTGTCAGCCTGTCATGGCAAAGCCGGCCCACAGCAGAGGCATCTAGGGGGATGGAGTTTCCTGCGGCACGTCAACAGGCCGCTCCAAACTGAAAAAAGAGAGGATCACCTTGGAACCCTTCAGGATAGGCATTCAGAGGCAAATCGGGACTGGTGAAGGAGCTGGATGATATAGGTGAGGAAAGAGTGTTACAGTCGGAAAGACGGGACTTACGCAGAGCCCCAGAACCCGTAATGCTTGATACCCAAGGCTCGAGCGGTGAACTCGTAGTCGTGCGCAAAGCCACCCGGGTAGAAGAATTCCATGACCGTGGTACGCTCTGTCGGGTATTGCCAGATAAGATTAGTGAGACCGTTCCCGTGGACGCCCATCATGATCTGGAAAAGAATTAGCATCCCCTCACAGTGCCGCTGGAGAAACGCTCACTGTTGTTCGCACAGCGAGTCTAATCTGCTCTGCCCTGCTCATCTTCTCCATCAACACGATGTTGACCTCCCAATCATGTTCGTCGCGCAGACGATACAGTTCTCGAACTAGCTTTTCGTGATCCGCCTGCAGCAAAGTTCGACGACCCCAGGCTTGCCGCGAGATATAAGTGATGACGGGTCGCTGCGTGGTTGACTGTCCTTCGTGAAGACCCATGCCCGCCATCTGGATGACATCGTTACGGATGGTCTGCCACCAGTTGACGCTGCCAGGCAAAGCGAAGGGAACGCCGGCTGTGCGCTGATAGCGCTGGAAGTTGTACGCTCTCATCGCCGACGACCGATCGGCCAGCACGACGCGCTCAAAAACAAACGGGACGCCCATCTTGACGCGGTCGTCCCAATCGTCAAGGAACTCCATGGTCACATCCGGGAACGAGGACCGGAGGACAAGCGGATTCATGTCTGTCGGGTCGCGCCACCGGAAGGCGTCCAGGCGGTTGAACCACATATGCCGTGGTTGGGGGAGCGTCGTCCGACCGTCAGGCGATATGGAAGGGTCAAGCGAGGAATACGTCCGCCAGAAGCCAAAGTACAGTTCAGCCGACCAATGGTAGTAGTGACGGATGCTTCATATAGCCATGAATGGGTTGGCGACAGGATGCATGATAAACAACTCACAATTGAGGATGGTCGTTCACGAAGAACTGGGGGAAATATTCAGCCTAGATCCCTCGAGAGAGACTAGGAGATCCTCTTACCGTGACACCGTCGACGATTCCGGCACCCGTTCCGAAGAGGGACTTTGCTTCCGCCCTGGTGATAATTCGGAGGTCTGTTTCGTCAGGCAAACGCGAGTCCTCCGCTTCTTTGCCCGGAAAAATCTCTATCCCTTTGGAATACATGTCTTCCTTGTTGGGAACAGTATTGGGGTCATCGGACACGACATACACGATGCCTTTGAAGATGTACATCTTGTCGATGATGGTCCATCCTATATGCTGTGTGAGCGACCCGTGCAAGCGCAGTTTTGGGAGGCCGTGTTACCTGGCGCATGGGATAAGACCTTGGATTCGGGCACCGGCCCCTTCCCCCATGATAAACGAGTGTCGTAAACGAGCGGATTCTTTTCTTGCAACGTATCAACGACTTCGGTAGTTGAAAGGGGGATAGTCGAAGGGGCGAGAAGGGGTTTGGGGGAGCGAGAACTAGATAGGGAGAGGACTGCAACTAGAAGGACGAGCAACAACAGGCATTCACGTCGGGTTGGAGGCGCCGGAGCCATCGAGGAACGGAGAAGAGAAGAGAAGCAATTCGCGAGAGAAGCCAGCGCGTTGTCACGTGCAGAAATGTCTGCCTCCACTGTCAGGCTGGATCATTGCCGCTAATGGAACGAGGTATTGTGACCTGAAGTCGTATCTCAGTCCTTTATCGTCCCCCTCTGGTCGATTGCCTTTTGCCTCTGCTGCGATTTCCATTTGCTTCTGGCTGATCTTACCGGGACATTCATTGTGGCGCCCTCAGTGAAAGGTTGCATCTCATTCAAGTGGTGCTGCATCTGAGAAATCCGGGCAAGCCACTCACCTATCTGTGTCCAACTCCTTCTGGTGAAATCAGACCAATTGTCTCGTGCACAGCACAAATAATTCGAATTAGTCTATTTCAAGCTTCGCTAGTCCCAGATAACTGTGCCGATCTGGGTCTATTTTCCAGCTGTGTTTTCTTTGCGCAATCGGCGAGGTGTTTGATCTTCTCATATGCGTGTCGGTCCAACTCAGTTCGCGTAAGGACTGAAATCTCACACAGACCAGTTCGACTACTCACTCAACTCAATGATCTTTGCTCCAATTGCCACCGCAACCTGTCCAGTCCAGCGCGCCGCGGGAGTAGACATGCCCGAGCTCCACGGATGGCGTCCCTTCCTCGTCTCGGGAACGAGGCCAGCGCGGAGTCGATTTGCTATGGTTTCAAGATCGACATGCTCGGGACAGAAGCCACGGCGGATCTCATCGACGAAGATTCGCGCGCGCGGGATGACGATCTTCTCTTGTCCCGTTAATTACCGGAGGCCCCAAGGCGCTAAGACGTAAGTGCGGCTGGTTCGCGGATGTAGACGCCAGTAGGGACTGGTTCGGTCTTGGACTCGAATGTCGACGCACCAAGGATGAGTTACAAGACTCGTCCTGCATGTGCAAATGTCATACCTGTCACATCGAGTTCCTCATTCCCCACAGCCCAGAAGTGACTGGCTCCGCGCGGGAGACGAAGGAGATCCCACGTGCCTTCTGCTCTTCTCCGGAGAGGCCGGGTAAGCTCTGAAAATCACACACGCTCATACGCACTGGCTGAAAAGCACCATCCCCTCGTTATCATGAATCGACGATACGATGCGTTCAGTACAGCCTTCATGTATTTTCGGGACTTCCAGAGCTGGAGTTTTCAATAATTTACACAACTGGTGTGACTGCCGACCGTTGCTTGGGTGAAGCTCGAAATATTGACGACTTGTAGTCGGGTTCTCATTCGTTGCTCTTGCGATCCGATTCGACTTTGAACTAGGAAAGCTAGACACCAATCTGGCCGCTAAAGTCTGATTGACTGACGCTCACAACCCTGATGCATCTTTCCGTCCACGCCGAGGAGGAGAAGTTTGCAGCGGACTCAGGACTGCAAGCTACACGTGATCGTGTAAACATCTCACGTGAGTTCCGCGTGCTGCAAATTTACCAAATCCGAGTGATTCGTAAATTCCAAAGTTGTTCATCTGAATGTACAAGGTCGCAGATCGTCATTTCATCATCGAAACTCTGCTTTTGTGATCCAGGGGTTGAGTAAAATGAACTGATTCCCTTTGTAGCAATTACAGATGCACAGAGCAATGAAAACCGTTCATCATCCATTCAGTTAGTTCTCTGAGATCGAATCCCAGCTTAATACCGAAAATTTTCCTCAGTCGAACGCCGAGCACCCCGTTTTGCGTTCACTAGCGCATTCGTACTCTCAACCCGTCAATGAGAAGTTGGCTATGCTCCCCACGAACCCGTTCCCGCCAAGCTGAGCGAGCGGTGCCTCGATCCCAATGGGCTCCCACACGAAGCTCTGCCCGTTAATGCCCATCACAGTGAGGAACTGCATCTCTGGCCCGGTGCCGGCCCGCAGGAAGGTCGAATCGCCGCGGGCGGAGAGGACGACATTCGTCCAGACACCGCGAGGAAGCGTGTAGTTCAGGACGTACGGCTGGTCGTTGGACACGAGCATGATCCTGTTCACTGTGCCATTTCCGAGCAGCAGCTTCGAATCGGGCCCAGAGAGAATCGTCGAGCCGACGGCTGCTTTCGACGAGGGATTGATTGAAAAGGAGAGGGTGTAGTTCCTGCCCTTGGACCCCAGGGGAGTCGTCAACTGGCTGGTGGAAGATGGGAATGTGACTGAGCCCGATTTGACTTTGCAGCCATGGCACGTCGCATCGTAGCCGTTTCCGGACGAGTCGCGGGTGTTCCCCTGGAATTTGTACTGCACGATGAGCTCCGTCTTCGAAGGAATGGCCCGATCGAGGTTTTGGCCGGGAACAACCGAGTGCAGGCTCTCGAAGATCTGGTTGTACTGGGGCTGGGTTAAAACTCCGCCCCACTGCTTGTCGGCCAGAGCCGGCAGCCCGTCGCGCCAGCTGTAGTACGCTTCGTGTACGGTCGTGGCATTCATCCCGTAATCGTTCCACTGCGCGGCAATGTGGCCGACGATCCCCGGATGCGAGCGCGGGGGGTTGTTTGTTGCGTTGTTCGTGTCGAAGACAAACGGCGCCCAAGGTCCTCCTGCCGGATTGCCGGCGAAGATGCGGTTCATGTTGAGTATTTGCGGGTAACTGCCGCTCCACTTCCCGACGATGTAGAATCCATCGTCCGAATTGAGGACATTGTAGCCTTGCTTGAGGAGGGTGAACGGATTATCCTCAAAGAACTCCCAGTGCTGGATCGTGATGTTCTTGCTCACGCTGGATGTTGAGGACGGCTCATTGGTACCCCAGATCCGGATCGTCTTATTCGACGTCTGCGCGATGAATGTCGACATCGTGTTGACAAAGCGGATGTAGTCGTCCGCAAGTGTGCTGTCGTATTCGTCGGCACCGATGTGCACGACTTTGCTTTGGAACCAAGGCAGAAATGTAGTCCATATCGTTTGCATGGTGGGTATAGTTTCCGGATGTCTAGTTTTGTGAACGGGTCGGTCGAGACACAGAACATCGCAACGTACTGGATGTTCAACAAACTCAGGTCGGACAGACCCAATTGTGGCTTCCACTGCACGATGGGCAAAGCATGGCCCGGAGCCTCGATTTCAGGGATCACCGTCACCCCTCGAGCAGCACAGCTCGATTGGAGCTCGTCAAAGTCCTCCCGCGTATAGCTTTCGTTGAAATGATACGTAGGCACGAGACCGGCAACGGCCGAGTCGTTGGAGTTGAGGCGGAATGCAGCGTACAACGACAACGAACGCGCCCTGGTGTATACGCCCACATTGTTGAACAGGTTGTCGCTGATGTGCAGGTGCAAGGTGTTCTGCTTGAAGAAGGACAGATAAGCACAGAGCTCGGTGAGAAAGGACACCGGATAGAAGTGGCGCCCAGCATCCAGCTGTTGATGTGAGCTCAAGAAGCGGCGCTTGTGGACGCACGCACCATGACTCCACGCGTCCCCCACCCCGGCGCATCTGTTCCTGATCCTATCGGAAGCGCCAAATCGTTGAGCTTCGCTTGCTGGATCAGCGTCCGTGTGCCCCAGAATACACCCAATGGGCTGGCGCCTGCAATAACGGCATTGTGTGCTCCAACCGTCAGAGAATATCCCTCCGCGGTGTGCCTCCCAGCTGCATCGAGGAACGTCGTGTTGCTCGACACGGTCAGGAATATCGATCCAGGGGCGGCGGCCGTTGCCGTCGAGACTGGAAGCGTGACACCGAGCACATCAAGGTCAGCGCTGAAGGTATGCGCGAATTCGAGGAGAGTGGGTGGGATGAGAGTCGTGCCGGTCGAGTCGACAGTGGACGCGAAGCGGCTATCGACAAGGATGCGCGAGATGTTAGCAAGAGGTAAACTGGCGTTTGATGTGGGGGTGAAAGGGACGGTCGGGATCCCAACGAGCGTTCCCGTGGCGCACCCGACAAGCGCTGCGAGCGCCGTGGATAATGAGAGGAGCATCAGTAGAGGTATCAGATCATCGAGTCCATGCTGCTTCTTATACTCAGGTGAACTGTTCTGACGAATATCGACCTTGCTTCGAAAGACGATCGAAGTTTGGGCTATCTTGTTCTATCCATGAGGCGAAATACTTCCGGCTTGGCGACGCATGACGAGGAGGCGCGTTCTTACATTTGAGATCGGATAAGTGCGGTGCCATCGCGCAGAATGGGAGCAAGGAGTTCATGGGTTCATGATGATGATGGTCGAGACCGAAGAGTCGGAGTAAAGTTTGATTTGACCGTGATGGCGTACGATAAGATAAGATGTATCTAATCTACAACCATTCCGCGGAGTGAGCATTGAGCACAATAGGCGCTTGACTAGCCTCGCCCTCTCTGACAGGAGTCTTGGAAAGAACGGCCGCATGCTTGAGCGCCGTCATCTTCTGCTTGCAGTCGGCTGACACCCAACCTATACTTAGATCAGCGATCTCCCGTTGCGAAGGAACCGTTTGCGGCGGAAGAGGTCTGGTGCCAGGCCCGAAAGCGTCATCCGGACTCAAGTTTCCCAGCGAGCGGAGCCACCGCCCCACTGCAGCCAAAGAGACTCGCACTTCCCACGACCCTCCTTCCTGTGACCAGTCGACTTCGCAGCACATACAGTTAAGGTCACGGACACACCGTCACGGTCTTACAGAGTGCTGCATTGATTCCAAATGCAAGAAGATAGCCTGCAGCGTGGTCTAGAGCTTGTACGGGGAGTGGCCGTGGTTTGAAGGCACTCTTGCTGTAGTCGGCAAAGCAGGCGCCCTCCGTTTCGTTGAAGCCCGTGGCAGTTTGCACCAAGGAATCGAACTAGGATTGCAAATTGCCCGCAGAATAGTTTATCTGCAAGAAAGACTTACTGCGCGGCGATCTTTCCAAGGGCCGTCCCATCCCCAAGCCCTCAGATTAGCAACCACAATCCCCGGCCGCAACTCGGCGAGGTCGTCCGCCCCGAATCCTTTCGCCTCGAGACCCCCTGGGCGATACGCTTGCATGAAAACATCGGCATCTGCCGCGAGCGCCTTCAACTTGCCGCGATCGGCTTCCAAATTTAGATCCAGCTGGGTCGTGCGCTTTCCCCGTGAAGTATCTACGTCGAGCGTTGGGAGGTCGGGCAGATGCGGAGACGTCACAAGGAGAACGTCGGCTCCGTGAGCTGCAGGACCATCAGTCGCCCAAAAGACATGAGAAGACCAAAATCACCCGCAAGAGTCCTTCCACAGATGGGCCCGGCGAGCACGCGACTCAGATCAAGGACCCGGACTCTCTCCAACGGATGATGGAAGGAACCCCCACCTTCACGTCTGGGCGCATCGCCGATCTTGATTATCTGGACAGGCGGAGTTTGCGAAAGTGCCCGCGCTTGAGGATGGGCAGTCCATTGCTCAAACGTTCGGAAGGCGGTTGCACACATTCCGCGTTCGGCAGCCGCAGATTCGAAATCTTCGGCTGCCCATTGACGAAGAGACTTCTGCACTTGGTCTCTGGTGACATCGGCAGAGTCGGGGATTTCCAAGATGGAGAGGATGCCCCTTCGGTGACTAGAGAACCGTCACTCAGTACTCAAACTCGTCTGATTATATGCTGACTGAGGGAAGTTGGTGTGAATCCGGACATAACCGTCTCGAGTCTCGTATATGCCGGCGACGGAATCCCATACCGATCCAGGAAGTTGCCCGTCCAGAGTATACCATCCTTCAGAATCTGTTTTTGAACATGTGAGTACTGGCAGCTTTTTGTTCACCCAAAAACCATAACGGACGGAATTCGAGCACAGCGTGACGAGCATTTACAGAGACATCTTGCTCGATCTGGGTCCTCAGCGAATGGAAATGGGCTGCAGATAGCCCGGCAAGTCCGATGCTGCTCTACATGTGAAAGGGTTTCACTGCGATGGATGGTGGGACTTCGAGTAAATGATGAGCACCTGAGCAGCGTCACCAATTCTGAACGATGAATTGGGAGATTGGTTGGCGTTTGGCGGCAAATTGAGTCGAGATAGAGCAGAAGCCGGCAAGCCGTTGGATATCCAAAGATGTTTCGCTGCAGAAAACGATCGCGCAGCCATCCCAATCGCGTCAGAGTAAGAGCGTCTTATTATCACTGGGACTGAATCGATGGCAACGGGTTCGAGAAACCGACTGGGTCAAGCGACTTGACTCCAAGTTACTCTTGGACTGCGGCGACTCAGGCTCGGTCACGCATTAGAGAATTATCACGTGAATGCCATGATGACCTAAGCATCTCTTCTCGACTTTCTTCCCGGACAAGTTTTCGGACTGCCGTTTGAAATCAATGGCGGAACGCGCTCCTGAAGATGCCCGCCCAGATAACACTGCTGCCGCATCGTCCTCTTCTTCGCCATCTAAGTCCGCCATCTCTTCTCCTCCCGTGAAAGAGGGTTCGCCTATGACCCCGGCTTCACTTTCCGCCTCATTTGCGGAATTCAACACCAGTGTGCAAGCGGCTGCACTGCAAGCCACACGGAGTGCAGCTGGCTTGCCCTCCGACATTGGCTTTCACAGGTCGATTGACCGCGAGCTTGCCGACGATCTCGACGCGTTTTCGGCGCGTGTTCTGTCGCTAACGAACAATCTATTGGCATTGGCTGCGACTGCTGAGTCATCTTATCGCGGCAAGGGAAAGGCGAAGCTGAAAACCTGTGACGACGTCGTCGATGATTTCCATTCGTTGGTGGTGGATTCCATGGACCGGTTGCTGGAACGAACTGTGAGTGTGAAATCATCCCGTTTGAGGCTGACTAAACCGCTCTTAGGATACATGTCTTGATGATTTCCTGGGCCGTAATAAAGTGCCTGTCGTTGCAATTGACGCTGACGCTATCCGCAAAACCCAAAAGCCTGTCGCGGTGAAGGGCGGGCGTCTGGACCCAGCAGTGCAGCACGCAGCTAGTCTCGTCAAACCGCAGCTGGCATTCAAGCACTTAGTCAAAAACACCGACGAGCCGTGGTATCCAGCTCTTTCGCACAAATTCAACGCTCAAGTGCCGTTGGGTCATATCTTCGAAGACGCAGAAAGCGATACTATAATGTACGCAAATCGCTCTATCCTCAGCGACGTTTAATATAAGTCTGTGCCTAGGAAGCATCCGTACCGATACGAAATCACGCACACGCCCTATCCGCAGCGCATGTTCCAAGAGGCCACACCCATCCCCCCCACGTCTTTTGGATCGACATCAGCTACCTGGGTGTCCACTCCCGAGGCGTTGGCGGCCCTGGTGAACGACCTGCGTCGTGCGAGTGAGATCGCCATTGACCTTGAACACAACGACTATCGGACATATGTGGGGATGGTATGCCTGATGCAGATCAGCACCCGCACTCAGGACTGGATCGTTGACACGTTGGCCCTGAGGGCCGAGTTGGCGACAGGTGAATTGAACGAGGTTTTCACTGATCCAAAGATCGTCAAGGTGTGGAAAGCAGCCTCATTTGGTACTATTGTGGCTCATCTAATTCGCAGGTGCTTCACGGTGCTGAGAGCGACGTAGTTTGGCTGCAGAGAGATTTTAATCTTTACTTGGTCAATCTATTCGATACCTTCCATGCCTCGAAGTTGCTTGAGTTCCCTCGGCATGGACTAGCAAACTTGCTGGAGATGTATTGCGACTTTACACCGGACAAGCGGTACCAGCTCGCTGACTGGCGTATACGGTGTGTGTTGACTTCCCTCAAGAGATTCACGGTCTGATGTTTTCTAGCCCATTGCCCGACGACATGTTGCAGTATGCTCGATCTGACACGCATTTCCTCCTGTTCATCTACGACAACTTGCGCAATGCCCTTCTAGATCGAGCACGATCCCGTCCGTCATCCCCTTCGCCGAATACGTCCTCTACTAGCAGTGAACACTCGCTTGTTCGACAGGCACTCACGCGCTCCGAAGAAACTGCGCTGCGAATATACGAGAAGGAGATTTATGATTCGGAACGCGGGTCAGGGCCTGGTGGCTGGGACTCCCTCGCTCGAAAATGGAACAAGGGTGCATTGGTCGCTGCTGCGGAGACACCCACTGGCAAAGAAACGCTCCAGCGGGCAGTCTACCGATGTGTTCATGCTTGGAGAGACCGAATCGCTCGGGAAGATGATGAGAGTGTCCGGTGCGTGTGTCACGCAATAACAAATTAATGTGCTGAGCATCCAGCAGATATGTGCTTCCGAACCATTTCCTGTTCCAGCTGGCAGAACAGCCCCCGTCCGACATGGGGTCGCTGTTGAAATTGTTCCAGTCTGTGCCTCCCGTTGTGCGGAGGAGGGCGAAAGAACTGCTGGATGAGATCGGGGCTTGTGTTGATCAGTATAGGTCAACTCCTGCTGCACCCGTTGAGCCGAGAAAGGATGTTGTCATGGAGCAAGCACCACTGGCACAAGAAGGTGGGCTACTGCTTTGGTGAATGTGACGAATGCTAACAGGGCGTAGTCCGAGCTCCCGTTCAATCGAGCCTGTTTGGTGCTGCTGTCGTCAATGCCTCAAACGTCACAGCCTCTAGCTCCCTCTTCGGAGACAAGGCCGGTCCGAGAACTGTCGCAGTAAGCCCTCCTTTCCTTAACGACATGCTGGCCAATAACCCTTCTCCAGCTGACCTCCCAGTTCCGGGAAGTGCTATCTCGGATCCATAACAAGCTTGTCGTCATTCCTGCCATGCCTGTGGTACGTGGATCTCCTCGGGATCGCCCGACCACTCTGATGTCATTCTAGGTCCAACCCGATCCGGAGCCAGTTGCCGACCCTGCATTGGGCATGCAGGTCGAGATGCCTTACGTTCCTCCGGCACAACGGGCGATCCGACCCGTCGTCGACGAGTCGATCGTCGTTGTCGGGCAGGCTCGTCAAAAGAAGCGGAAGCGCACCAAGACTGAGACGGGTGGGCAACAGGACGCTGTAGAGAAGACAGATCCGCAGGAAGAATTCGACTTTTCTGCGGTGCCCAATATCCTGGACGATGTGCCGAATGACCAGGATATGAGGGTCAAAAAGAAGAAGAAAGGCGACAAGCGAGGGAAAGGTGAGTCGATCTGTGTTTCGGCTGGGCGTTTTTGAACGGGGGACAGATAAACCGATGTATGGAGATTTCCCTGCGCCACCGAAAGCGCACAGAGACGTGAAAAGTGGCAATATGTCCCATACTTTCAAGCGGTAAATTCGGTGCCTACACAGTTATTTCATACTTGCATATCGAACAATACTTTGCCAATCTTCGAGTCGTTGAAGGCAGCATAATACTCAACAGCCTCATCCGCTGAAACGACTTTCTCGACAAGGCTCGCTGAGTCGCCGACGCTGCCGAAGATGTCCTGACGTTTGACTGGGTTGAAAGAGTCAAAACTGGATGACAAAGCATTGCAGAGCACTCACCCAAGAGGTCGAAGGCCATGGGGAACATGGCCCGAGCGGGACAACGTCCAAAGTCGAAGGACACGTTCTTGTTGTACAACTGCGATCCAACAAAGGGCACCGCAGGCGATCCATGCACGCCGACGGAAGTGATGACACCAAAGGCGCGGACAAGATCGTATGCCAACGAGAGCGCACTGTTGTTGCCCACAACCTGAGTGCTTGTCATTTGAAAACATTCAGCCGTGGGTTAGGTGGGTGTACCTCGAGGACAGCAGTGCACCCGGTGCCCGCTGTCCAGGTTTTCACTGTCTCTCGGGCTTCCTCGATGCTCAGGGCGGCGAATTTCCCAGACGCGGATCCAGATGATTTGATCTTGTCGTAGATAGTCTGTGCTTTGTCGCGGCGGCTCTCGACCGGGTCGACAGCGATGATTTGGTATTGGAGCCGCTGGGTCTCGAGCATGTCTATGAGGCTGACGCTGGCGCACAATCCCACGGGTCCGAGCCCGATAATCGCGAAAGTAAGGATCTGGTCCTCCGGTTTCATGGTCGCGACTGCATCTGAATCCGCCGCAATCATCGACGGCCAGGGTTTCCCCGTGATCGCTGGCAGGACTTTGGGGTGATTCAGCGCTTGCAGAGCTGCGAATACTCCCGTCGGAAGGATATCAGCCAGCAGAAGAAGGGAGCTGTCGGTGATTGCCGAGAGGGCCTGCTCTTTGGCCGCCGCGGGCATCGAAGAGGACCAAGTGGATGGGTCGCTCAAATTGAACAAAGTGCCTCCGGCGTATGGAACCCTGACATATTGTGCTTGGCCGCCATCCAAGGACGGGCTGCCAAAGAGAAATCCAGAGGGGCATCGACAGGTGTAACCCAAGCGGCAAACACTGAGGAGCATTCAGTTGCTGCCGTGCTTTGGAAACGTAGTCCTTACGAGCATTCGCCGCAATTGCTAGTAAACGGTGATACGACCTAGAATTCCAGTTCGGTAGTCGATTTGGACCCGGAGCGCTGTCCCCACCTTATCGCCGATTTTGAGTTTGGCGTAGAGCGCAGGACGACCGTCGACAGCCTGCTCAAAGCTCGACCCGAGCTCGACCACCTCCCCGACGAACTCATGACCACATGTATGGCTAGAATGATTTGGCACTTGGGATCTCAGATTGAAATCATGCGCCATACACTTGAGTTACCCCGCCGTGCCCTCTGTAGATGTGCAAATCGCTGCCTGGCATCATGATCAGGTTCCGCGAGGCGTATCTTATCGCATCCCTCACCGCATAGCCCTGCCAACTATCCCGCATTCGAGTATTCGTGACCCGTGTTGGTTACCATTCATCGATTCGGGCTTACCGCGACTTTCACAATCGCATCATCGGGATGCTGGATTCGCGGGACGGGAACCGACTCGACTCGGATGTCGAACGCCGGCGGATAGAATCGGATGGCTTTCATCATCTTCGAGTCCGGCGATGAGTCCCTGTGTACGAATTCCCTGGTCAGTCCGGGTCTCGTGGCCACGGGCGATGCGTGGTACTACCTCGGAATCGGAAGTACTAAATGGGAAAATCACGCGGCCGCCCTCAGTCAGGGCCGATAACATATCTTTAAATAAGATTGATATCCGCAAGGGGTTCCCAGTGCATCACTTGGGGAGCACATACTGTAGTATACCGAGCTGGAACTGTCGTGTTTGGCCTCAGCTCAGGAAGTCAGGGGTCACTCAATACAGAAGGGACTGAGAGTATGCTGCAGGCCCCTCCACAAACAATGGCAACGTGATGCGTCACGGAACGCGTCTTGTCACATCATGTCACAGAGCGCATGTGCTCTATTCAAGTCTGTTCCCGCCTACGGGTCTCGGCCGGAGAAGCTCGTCTAGTATCTACACAAATTGTCGGTTGTGTCCTAGCAATGACCTGGCAACAAGTCAAAAAATCCCGGTGCTCCGCCCGAGCGGTCCATCCACCGACCTATATAAGACCGCTCTGATTGGACCGAGTAACTCAAAAACCGGATCGGACTGACCATGATTTTCCTGTCCCTCCTGGCTGCTCTGTCCCTCGTCTCGCTCTCCAGCGCACAGGTCGGGCCCGGTCGCGTCGCAGGCAATGTAAACCCCGTCGCCGATCCCACGATGTGCCGATCGGCCAGCGGAGAATACTTTGTTTTCTGTCCGTCTTGTGTCTTGCTGCCGGGTTGAGCTTGCTCTCTGAAGTCGTTATATTAGCCACGGCACCTGGGATTGCCGTTCGCACCTCTCCTGATCGCGTAACGTGGACATATCGCGGTGTCGTTTGGCCCAGCGGTGCAAGCTGGACGGACTCGTGGACCGGGACCTCGAACGGGTGTGTCGTGCATGGCCCTCCGCCTGGAAATATTCTGATAAAATTCAAGGAACCTGTGGGCGCCCGATTGCACGGTTATCGGGGGTGTTTTCCACGTCAGTCCCTAACCGGCCTCTATGTTCCGGTGCTGACCGTCCGCTTCTCAGCTCTACTACGCTGCTTCTAAATTCGGCACACACGACGTTCGTGGGGCACTGAAATTTTCACCTTGCATCAGAGGCTCAACTCGTCGCAGTCTGCTATTTTCCTTGCCAAATCCAACACTGGGCTTCCCGGCAGTTGGACGAATGAAGGCCTGGTCACCAGCACGGGATCCAGCAGCAACTACAACGTGAGTTGGTTCATTTGGACTTGGGACGACGACGTACTCAACGCGTAAACCTATAGGCCATCGATCCCAAGTAAGTCGCTTATCTTCGCTTGAAGTATCGCGATCAATGAGGCCCATCATAGTCTCTTCATCGGTGCGCCCGATGGTCCCTTATGATGGCCATGGAAACTGACCAGATGATTTTGAAGATGGAAGCAACTGGTACCTGTCCCTGGGCAGTTTCTGGTCCGGGATCAAGCTTCAATCGTGAGTGTCAGCCATACATCCCCTTCACTCTCCGACAGTTATCTTGTTTCGTTTCCTAGACTCTCCGCTTCTACAGGCAAGCCGACGAGCAGTGCTGTTACGTCACTTGCCGAGCGCAGCTCCGCGAGCGGCGGTGCATTGGAGGCCAGCGTCATCTACAAGTCGGGCTCTTACTACTATCTGTTCACGTCCTGGGACAAGTGCTGTGCCGGCACCAGCAGCACCTACAACATCCGAGTTGGCCGTTCAAGCCACGTGAATGGGCCCTACGTTGACAAAGCCGGCGTCGATCTCATGAAAGGCGGCGGAACGCTTGTTTTGCAGACCCACGGAGGAGTAAGCAAACTCTCGGCGGCAGTCCGCTGGAACCGGGAGCTAATACTTTGTTGCGCAGGTCTTCGGTCCCGGCGGACAGGACATCTACCATGATGTGGACGGCCCTGTGCTTGTTTATCGTGCGTTACTTGCTATCTGCGTTGCGACACTTTCCGAAATCAGCCCACCTAGACTACTACACCTCGGCTGGCACTTTGGTATGGGACAGCTCGTTTTGTGCGCAGCCTATTACTAAGTGTTGTAGCTGGGAATCAACCTCTTGGATTTCTCGTCCGGATGGCCGGTAAGCTGATGATCGAGTCCCAATGGATTCCTGTCTCATGCTGACCATCGCTCCAGGTTGTCAAGTGATCCGTGGTCTGCGTTGGTTGACTATCAGATTTCGCCTTTGCCACTCATTCCTAATATACCCCCTTCTTCTAATTCCGCCAAACCCAATCATAATAAAACGACTCAACGGGCTGCGTCGGCTGTAGCGATCACTCGGGTTTCCGGAATCTTTGAGCCGGATTGAGAGCGTCGCCCAAAGATATCCTCGACTCGCTTTTGCTATGATAACTCACGGGTGATGGTTGAACTGAAAGAGTGATTTCGCCAAGCCCGGTGTCATCGTTTACGAAAGATCAGCGAAAGATGGCACAATTAGGCCAGGGGGAAGCGAAGTATAGTGAGGGCCATCCGCTCCCTGTCACTTACAAAATGTAAAATTGAAAGAGTTTGAATCCCAGAGAACGAGACGGCAGCGACCGCCTTTGTTCCCTGTGCTACGCTCGGTCGCAAGTCGAAGTCTGAACAGAAAGCGTAGATTGCTTACTATGACCTCATCCATACGCTTCCAGTTGGGACACTGACTCCGGTGGCTGTGCGGATCTGCTAATGATGTAATTTTGAACGCGGTACGGATTCATTTTCGCCTTGGCTTCCACCTCCACGCATGTCTTCATCCGTCGGGTCGCCAGCAGAGGGTGCATCGTCTACCAAGAGGACGCCGTCTGATGTGTTTCGCCCCCGACTACCCTTGGATCCCTTCTCGCCTTCCTCTTCAGTTCCTCGAATGTCACAAATGAAGGATCCTGACACACCTTGGGCTGCCTACGAATTGCCTCTGCTGGCAGAATCTTTCGAGCAGGGTCCGCGAGTACTACTGGTTCTCGGAGGTGGGCTCTGTGGCTACTCTGGCACGATCTCATCAGCTAAAACTCTTGGTCCAGCATCAAATCCTCATGTTTTGAGTCCCATTCTCCGCTCTCGAACATTTTCGAGCAGCGTTGTGCTATACGTCACGCACACGAACCCTCAGCTTAATGCTATAACTGCTGCCATCGGATCCAATCCTAGTCCACCCTGCATTAGGGTTCTACGATTGTCGGCTGCTCTGGCACCCACAGCACCCGCCTTCGCTCTCACGCTCGTGGGCATTCTCGAGGCAGCAGCGGCCGTAGCGCGCTCATGGAGAGCAAATCCACACTCAGGTTCCCAAATCGAGCAATTGTCCCAAGACTCCACCGGCTCCTTCACCGTGTGTGAGACCATATCCCCACATCCCTCACCTCCACTTCAGGCATCCGAGCACCTACACCATGCTCTCAAGAAGCGCTCGTCAGTCCCAGCCTCACCTGACTCTCCGTATTCCACCACCCGCTCACGACCGCCATCCGCTCTTTCCGTCGATTCCACTGCCTCGAAACAGCGGAGTAGTTTCTTGAATTTCTCGTCACGATCTTCTACTTCTGTTCACCGACAGAACCCCAAACGAATGTCTTCGCCCTATCCGCCGACATCGAAACGAATGTCCAGCGGGACCAAGCGAGCTTCAGGCATAAAACTGGATGGAACTCGGGCGTTCGACGCGTTGATCTCCTTTCTTCCACCTGCACAGCTAGAAAAGGCCGTACTCAAGCAGGTCGTTCTGGTCAGCACCCTCGCAGGGACTTTCCTGACTGGTCCGACCCTGTCCGGAAGCCCTCGGTTTGCATCTGCACCTGGATCTCGCCGAGGCAGTCTTAGCGGAATCGTGCCTGAGTGGCCGAAGTCCCTGGCAAGCGGCGCAACAAGCCGCACTGGATCCATCAACGGCGACGGATCAGACAGGCCGCATTCACCTGCCCGGTCCATCTTTAGCTCCATCCGAAGCCAACCTACCTCCGTCTACCACGCTGCACTCTGGGGCACCCAGTGCAGGCCCCACATTGTGCATATATTGCCGGCGAGTTACAAGAGTCCGAAGCTGTCAGCTGCTCTCGGCGCATTCGTAGCCTCGTATTCGGCCCCAGCAGTGCCACTTCCAGTTTCGTTCTCGGCCTCGAGCTCATCGGAGTTTTCGGAAGAGCTGCTGTCAGCTGGAGGATCTTTCGGTCAAGGCAAAGGGAAAGCGCACGCCTATGTCGTGGCAGAGCGCGCAGTGCCTCTCGCACTCGAAACCATTCTTATCGGCGGGATTGATTTTTCGGCAGAGGGCCATGTCAGAGGGGGCGGCTGGGTTTCTGCGGTGCGGGTAGAAGAAACTGCCGCGTCGTATGGGCTACCCACTCCGCCGGACAGCCGAAGTGGGAGTGGTGAAAGTGGGGAAGAAGGACAATGCTCAGACGAGCCCGAGCCGGCACAGCCTGAACTGCCATCGATGGGAGATCCAGTCCCGCAAAAATCTGACATTCCATCATCTTTCAACAACACAACAACTCGCAAACTCAGGCGGGCGAGCCAGCGACGAAGTGATGCAGAGCCAGGTCGCTCGATCTCACAGCAGCCAACATCCGCAATCGCGCGCACTCCGAGCAACCGTCGGCGGGTCGAAAGTGCGCCGTCCGATGCAGGATTGGCCGGCATTGGCGCCCGCGGAGGACGACCAGATGGAAGCAAGATAGCCTCAAGCACAGCACGTCCGATAGGCAAAAATCGCAAGACCTGGAGCCGAGGCAGCCGCTTCTTCGGAGGCAAAGGCCCCGACGATTTCAAGCTGAAGCGCTCGACGATGGGTACTACGGCTCCGAACAAATCCAGAGTAGCTGCCTTGCGAACAAGTGATGAGCGGGGCCGCAGCTCCCCCGACTTGCGCGAACTGCCAGGTGGCGGCCTCGATGCTTCGCACAAGAGGAGAAAACCATGGTGGATGTTCTGGGCCTGAACGTCAGAGCGCCAACTCGACCGTTCTGTACGGACTCTATCTATGCCAATATCGGACATGGGGTACTACCACACATCCTTCATTCACATACCCTTATTTTTGATTCCTGTAACTTCACCTTGTTGTAGCTGGAGCGCCCTAATTGTATCCGATACCAACATTCTGCATGTCGACAATACACATAAGATCAATTATATCATTGATCGTGACCTCTACTTGGAGGTAGAGTCTGAGCTTGAACAATCATGTCGAACAAATCCAAAAAACAAACCAAGTCTTCGTCTTCGTCGCTGCCTGCAGAACACAAGTCTAAGGTAGGCCATTTCTACGTCGGCGTATTCGCGCGTAACCGCTCCAGAAAGCCCAGGCGCGACACCCTGTATCCTGGCTACCTTGGCTCGCGCTTCCCGTGGCTGTATTAGCTGTCGCGTACTCCTCTGGTTTCTTCTCGTCACCGAAGCTGGAAGAAACGTCTCTCGAGCCTTATGTTGTCAAAGATCTTCCTGGAAGAGGGAAAGGTCTCGTCGCGAGCAGAGACATCAAGCAGGGGGAGTTGGTAATCCGAGAAACACCGCTGTTCATTGTCCCTCAATCTAGTACGTCTTCTCACAGATACCTGGTCCGAGGTTCTGATTATGAACGTGCCAGTTTCCGAGTCACCCACAGTCCTCATCTCGCGTTTGCTTAGTGGGGTGTCTGCTGAAGACCGCCAAGCTTTCATGAACCTTTCTTATGTCAACCTCCCACCCTCAGAAACCGATCCGGCGGCAATTGCCTTAGCAATCTTCCAAACAAACGCGGTGGCAGCGGGGAATGGGGTCGGCATTTTCCCTCGCATGGCGCGCTTGAATCACGGGTGTTCGAGCGCATTCAACGTGGTGTATTCATGGAGACCGGCAGAACAGGCCCTTTTTGTACATGCGCTGAGGGATGTGCGGCAGGGACAGGAGCTGCTGACGACATATACCGATACTAAACGGCCCCGGAGCGAGCGGCGGTACGTCGGGTGTGATCGTTACCAGTTCTTTGCTGAGCGAGATGACTACTCAGCGAATATCTGTCGCATCAGTACGGGTTTTTATGCATGTGCCGTGTCTGCGCGATGGCCGAGGCTGAATCGCAGGCTTCCGACCGCCGGCTGACGAATATCCGAGACTATTACAAGCATCTTTCCAGTTGGGGCGAAGAAGCCATTGACGGCATGGCAGCAGTCCAGACCATCAACGCTATCTGGAAGGTAGAAAACGAGGAGGGATACTGGAGTGAGCGGGGCCAACTAGCTGCCGATGGCGCCTGGATCGCAGCTGCGCATTCCGAGTGCGTCTTGTCTCGTCGGTCCTCGAATCTAGCTGATTTGCAGTGCCCCGGCTGTTCGCTCGTGGGCTAAACTGGCTATCCGATGGTTCTCCTTCGAGCTCGGAGCAGACAGTGAACTCATTTCGGAGATGAGGGTTGCTGCGGAACATCCGCAGGCTCATCGGGCCTGGGGCTCGAGACAGCCGATGCCCGTTGGTGCGCACATGGACCATAGTCCGTCCTGAACGTATGGATGGGACTGGGAACGCACTTTTATGTAATATGGGATAGTCCTTCGGGTGCCGATATCACGCAGCATCTCTGCGTAGCTAGCTGTTTATGAGACTAGAGTACAGCCATGGTACATGCGTGGGAATACTGTCTGAATGAGGCCACGTCTTATTTAAGCACCCCAGGGCTTTCCATCTTCCGTTTACACCTTTTGGCACTTCCTCGAGGTACACGCCTCTCAAGCTCACTTAGTCCTTTCCTTTTTTTTCTTCGCCTATTCCCCCTTCGCCCTCATGGCGACTTCCACATCCGACGTGATTATTCTCGGCCTGGGCATTACTCTAGCCGGTACCTACCTCTTCCGTGAACAACTTTTCGCACCCTCGAAGCCCAAGATCGCACCGCTACCAACCAAAGCCGCTAATGGGTCCGGAAACCCTCGCGACTTCGTTGCAAAGATGAAGGAGGGGGTATGTGCAATACTTTGCCAGGAGCCGGTTGTGCTTTCCACTGATCCTTGTCGTAGAAAAAACGCATCGTCATCTTCTACGGCTCTCAAACTGGCACGGCAGAGGAATACGCCATTCGGCTCGCCAAAGAGGCCAAGTCCAAGTTCGGGCTTGCCTCACTCGTCTGCGATCCCGAAGAATATGATTTCGAAAATTTGGATCAGATCCCAGAGGACTGCGCGGTCTTCTTCGTCATGGCCACATACGGAGAGGGAGAGCCGACAGATAATGCCGTGCAGCTCATGCAGAATCTCCAGGACGATTCCTTCGAGTTCTCCAACGGCGAGCACAAACTGGAGGGCCTTAAATATGTGGTCTTCAGTCTCGGAAACAGGACATACGAGCATTACAACCTTATTGGACGTCAAGTTGATGCTGCTGTAGAGAAAATGGGCGGCATCCGCATCGGCGAGCGCGGAGAGGGCGATGACGATAAGAGCATGGAAGAAGATTACCTCGAATGGAAAGATGGAATGTGGGATGCGTTCGCAGCTGTCATGGGTGTTGAGGAAGGACAAGGCGGTGATTCCGCCGACTTCTCCGTGTCGGAGCTTACGGAGTACGCCCCGGAGAAGGTGTACCTAGGTGTGTGCATCATCGTTGTGTCTTGGTCAATGCCTAAACTCCGCAACAGGTGAACTCTCCGCTCGTGCTTTGACGAAGACCAAGGGAATCCATGACGCTAAGAACCCCTACCCCGCCCCTATCATTGCCTCCCGAGAACTCTTCCAAGTTACCGGAGATAGGAATTGTGTGCACATCGAGCTCAGCACGGAAGGTTCCGGTATCACGTATCAACACGGAGATCATGTCGGGATCTGGCCGTCAAACCCGGAGCTCGAGGTCGACCGTCTTCTCTGCGCTCTCGGACTGTACGACAAGAGGGATCAGGTTATCGGTATCGAGTCGCTTGACCCTGCTCTAGCCAAAGTGCCCTTCCCCGTTCCAACGACCTATGCCACAGTCCTCCGCCACTACATCGATATCAGCGCTACCATCGGACGTCAAATTCTGGGACCGTTTTCCAAATTTGCTCCATCCCCGGCCGCGGAAGAGATGTTGAAGAGCCTGAACTCCAATAAGGAGGAATATCATAAGATCGTCGTCAATGGTTGCTTGCGATTGGGCCAGGTGCTTCAGCTTGCTGCGGGCAATGACATGAACGCCGCACCTTCTACATCCAACACAACGGCATGGCACATTCCTTTTGACCTCATCGTGTCGGCTATTCCCCGTCTGCAACCTCGGTTTTACTCGATTTCCTCCAGCCCCAAACTCTACCCTACCTCGATCCATGTCACTTGCGTCGTCCTCAAGTACGAGTCTGTTAAAAGTGCTGCGGTTGATTCCAGATGGGTTTACGGAGTCGGGTCCAACTTCCTGCTCAATCTCAAGCAGGCGGCCAATGGAGAGACCCAGTCGTTGGTTGCCGGCGACGCTTTGCCCGTTTACGCTATCGAAGGTCCCCGGAGCGCCTACAAGAGCGATGCAATCTACAAGTCTCCCATTCACGTCCGACGGTCCACTTTCAGATTGCCCACGAACCCCAAGAGTCCAGTGATCATGATTGGCCCTGGAACCGTGCGTCTCTCTGTTTACGTTTCGTATCTCTCTCTAATATTCGATGCAGGGTGTTGCTCCTTTCCGTGGCTTCGTCCAAGAACGTGTTGCTCTGGCCCGCCGCTCGATTGACAAAAACGGACCCGATGCCCTGGCAGACTGGGGCCGCCTCACCCTGTACTATGGCTGCCGGAAGTCGACTGAAGACTATCTATACGGCGATGAATGGCCCCAGTACACAGAAGAGCTCAAGGGCAAATTCAACTTGCGCTGTGCCTTTTCGCGCGAGCCCCCGTACAAGCCTGATGGATCCAAGATCTACGTGCAGGACTTGATATGGGAGGACCGCGAGCCCATTGCCGATGCCATCCTCAACGGCAAGGGCTATATCTACATCTGCGGTGACGCGAAGAGCATGAGCAAGGCCGTGGAGGAGACCTTGGCTCGAATCCTCGGCGAAGCTAAGGGTGGTTCCGCTGAAGTGGAGGGTGCTGCTGAGGTCAAGATGCTCAAAGAGCGTTCCCGACTAATGTTAGACGTCTGGAGCTAGATTTTCCCATGTTATCTTCCTATGTCGTTGTCTTGCGTCTACTATAGTATACAGTATTTCGCCCCACTTAAACCTACGCTGTAATGAGTGGAAAGTCCGCCTGATCCGCAATCAAAACCCGGCCGCTTGTGATGTTTCCTCTGCGGTCGTCACTGCATAAGTCTCTTCGCTCGCCCGCGTTCACCCTCTCTCGGAATGTATCACAGAATTTTACAACACCCTCTCCGGAAGAACCCAACGAAAAATCCACGTCTATTCATGAAGAGATACCACGCCCATCGTCATCCGCGTTGACGGAGAAGCCCGTTTCAGCCCCGGATCCCTCGTCAGAGCTGAAACAACGCATACGGAAATTCGTCGACGAATCGTTGCTCAAAGCTCGCACCCGGGCAGACGAGTTCTCTGCGGCTGCAAAAACCACGTTCTCCCAGCTGGGTTTGCAGCTGAACAAAGTAACGGGCTATGAGGAGATTGAAGCGCTGAAGCGACGCGTCGTAGAACAGGGTGAGTGTGTCGCACCATGTCATCTTGTCCGAATAGCTTATGGCTCGACTGTCAGAGGCCAGTATCAACAATACCCGCGAAGCGGCACGACAAGCAAAGGCAGCATACGACCGGGCGGTCGCCCAGCGTTCTGACTCCCAGAGAGAGATTAACGACCTGTTGCAGCGCAAGTCGCTGTGGAATCAAGCAGATATCGCGCGTTTCACTACTCTGATACCGCAGGACCATGTATTGGAGCAGGCCGAGGCGCAAGCACGACTCAATGTGCAGGAAACGGAAGATGCTGTTGAACGCGAATTTACAGGTCTCATGCGCACCATCTTAAACCGCTACCATGAAGAACAAGTTTGGTCCGACAAGATCCGTAGTGCCTCGACTTACGGGTCTCTCGCTGCGCTCGGGCTCAACTTGTTCGTTTTCGTCACGGCCATTATTTTCGTGGAGCCGTGGAAGAGAAAACGTCTTGCGGCAACATTCGAAAAGAAGATCGAAGAAATGAATCGGGAAAACGAAGCCATGACTTCGTCCAACATGCGCGAAATCCAGCTGAAGTTGGATGCGCAAACGCAACTACTGGCACGGACTAAGATCCCGATCCCAGAGATTGTCATTTCGCCGACGCCTGTGGAGGATCGCGAGCTTGGCTCCGAACCGGCTCTTCCTGTGGAACTATACCGTCGAATCTGGTCCAAAGCCCAAGATCCGGAAGTGGGTGGCACGATGCTTGGCGCAGCCGCTGTTGCTGGGATCGTAGGGTGGTTGATGAGGACATGGGTGGGTAATTGAATGGCTCAATCCCGAGCCGGAGATGAGTCTCTTAACACGCGCCGCGTGCGCTGGAGACTAGTAGCACTGGAAGCAGGGCTCATAGTACTTGCTCGTCGGTCATCAAAAATCGGATCCAACATGTAGATTAATATGATCGGTGATTTGACCTCATCTCCCATCTACGAGGAGTTGGCGTCCTTGATCTCGATTCCCAGCACGGGCTCACCTTCTGGGTCATTGAGACAGGTCATGTCTGCCACTGAGGTTCCCATGAGTACACCCAGCTAAATCTGAATTCAGCTGCTCTGCTCATTAGTGGATCATCATCCCTGCATGATTGATGGCGAAGTCCGTTGGCTCAGAAGTTATCGTGACTCTTTGTGTACAAATGCCCACCTTGAACTCTCTGTTTCCCGAATTGTTATTCGAGCTACCGGCATACCTTCATTCCGTAGAGGATCGGCTTGCCATCTCTTCGACCAGCAGGACGTTGCACGCGATATGCTCCAACCCTGATCCCCGAGTAATCCTGCGTCTCGCTTCCATCTCCGGCCGTGTCTTTTTCAGACCGCACCCTCACCTACTCATTGCTGCAACGGCGCGTCGGCTGTCAGACTGGGCTGTCGAAAGTGAGGGCCGTCGCCGTAGTCTGGAATATGCCTTCCACGGTGGAGTTGAAAAGCTTCTGGAACTTGCAGTTGCTGTGACTGGACTCAGTATGGAAAATATCCGTCGACTTGGCGCCTACCGTTGCGACGTCCTGAACCAGCTCAGTCGGGAACTAGATCTGGCGGCAGGTCCAGCATCCAGAGCAGATGCATTCACAGTGTGCAATGATCCTGAAACCACCCTCCTCACCTGGGCCATCTACGAGGAGCTTTCACATCAGAATGCAGAGCTCAGCTATCTGCCTTTCCCGCGGCACCAATCTTTGAGCTCACTCACGCGCTTCAAGTGGTTGATTTTCTGCGTTCCGGACGTCAATAGCTTCTTATTTATGGGTGTTCGGGACCAGCCGGCATAGTTCAACGAGTACGTGCAGGACGAAACCGACCTTTACCAGCAGCTCAGTCTGTCCGAAGCAATGATGGGAATGCTCAATGACAAGCTGTGGATCGCGGCAATCGATCATCTGAACCTTCAAGGACTGGAGTCACCCGCACTGAAAGATGCATTCATCTTTATTGTCATGCGTACGGGAATGAAAAGTCTCCAATTGCTTGTCCCAGGAGAAGCGCAGAAACTGCGGTCGGAGCTGGGGATGATCATCTCTGGTCTCCGTCGCGCTGTCGATGGGATCAACGGCAGCGAAGGACTGGAGATTGACTTGTACCATCGCGTTGCGCATTTGGACGCAACCGTTCGCGCCAAAACAGACGACCCTCTTCTCCACTCCGCTTTCCCGTCTCTCCACCGAGACTTACAATTCACCCTGTGGGGAACCTGGCAAGGACTACCAGGTGATCGACACCTTGACCCAGATGAAGAAGCTCAAGTTCTTGCTTACTTGCAGACAATCCCAGAGATCAATACAGCAGATTAGATTAGGATTAGATTGTGCAATGGTGGCAGTGCCACATTTTTGTTTCCATCCACCATGAGCCGACCAGGCCCTTCTCTCCCTCCTCCGAGTAAAAAGCGCAAACTCGACAAGAACTCAGCCCTCTTGGAGTCTATTACAAACTTCGAAAACGAACTGAACTCCGCCGCTGCCGCGAATAGCTCCTTGAATCCCTTGGCCGATCTGCTCGAACTTGCTGTAACGTGTCAAGACGCACAACAGACCTCAAAAGCCATATATGCGCTCTATCGAGTGTTTGTCGTTCTCATTCAAGGGGGAAAGCTAGGTCCCAGTGATGATGAAGCGGCGCGTGTTGTCAAATCATGGATTTGGGAGAAGCTGCGAGCTTATGTGGACTTTCTATGTGAACTTCTCAAGGACGAAGAGAAACTGCTGCGTGTTGATATTTTCCATTTGCTATCTAATACAATCGCGTCTGACGACTTTCATAGACTTCCTCCTTGCAAATTTTGTTTTCACTCCAGAAGCATCTTTCGACGGCGACTTCTGTAGCCGAAAACAAGCCGCAATTTCACGGGTTTCATTTCCGGAGCATTGTGTCAGCACTTCTACTTTGCCCGTCTTCTCGACGAGCACCCCAGTCGAATCCAGGCGTGCTCGATCCCGATGTACAGAGATTGTTCCTCGAAACCTGGTTCAGTGTGCACGATGATGTGCGGTGGTTTTTCCTGCGAGATGCAGGGTGCGTGGTCTTTCGAACCTTTTAGATAGGCTCTTATCGTTTTAGAACGACCCTAAACACGGTCTCAATTAGCGAACATCCTCATGTCGCCCAAAATCTGCTTGGGGTGTTGGAAGCACTTGAGACCTTTCCCACTGAGAAGGGGGAGATCAACTCGTGGTGGGTCGCAGAGATTGGCGCAAAACCACCGAAGGTCAAGTCCGGCAAAAAGAAGGGGCAAGAAGAATCTGACGAGGAGGAGAATGTTGACCCGGGACTTGATGAAGACGACTGGAGAAAGTTTTTCGACGAAGACTCTCGAGCCAAGGACGTCAAAAGCAAAGGACCAGAAGCGCGATTGCATAACCTGACCCTGCATCAATCCCTGCACTCGCTCTCTTCCCATCGAGCTGTTTTTACCCGCGTCTGGCTGGGCCTTCTACCGAAGCTGACGGCAATCCGCGAGATTGAGCAACGGAAGGCTTTATCAACGCGTGCTCTCAATGTCATGCACCGAGGCGTAATTCCGCACCTGACGCGACCGGTTTTGGTGATGGATTGGGTTGGGGAATGTGTGGATCTCGGTGGAACCGTTGGGCTCCTGGCGCTGAATGCGTTGTTTCTATTGATGAAAGATTACAATCTGTATGTTTCACCTTTCTTTTTGAAGCCACTTCTAATACGTTCTAGGGACTATCCTTCATTTTATACGCGACTATATGCGTTCTTGGACCGAGATGTTCTTCATTCCAAACATCGTGCCCGGTTTTTCCGGCTCACGGAGGTATTCTTGGGGTCCACGCACATCTCTGCGGCAGTGGTGGCGTCTTTTGTCAAGAAACTCGCTCGATTATCACTCAGCGCCCCTCCTGCAGCAATTGTCCTCGTCATGCCATTTACCTACAATGCTCTCAAGCGTCATCCTGCGTTGATGCCTTTGATTCACAGAACGTACGTTGGCACAGAAGATGATGAACAGTCTTCGGACCCATTCGATGTGTTGGAACCTAACCCAAACTCGACGAGAGCGCTTGAAAGCTCGCTGTGGGAGTTAGCATCACATCGGTCGCATTACCTGGCCGGGATTTCCACCCTGAGCAAAATATTGACGGAGGCCTTTACGAAGCAAAGCTATTCGATGGAAGACTTCCTCGATCACACGTACGGCACGGTCTGTCTTTCATTTCGGGGTCGTTCTATCCTTGACCAGTGATTTACAGCTCTTCGATGCCGATGCTGCACGCAAAATCAAGAAAGAGCCACCCGTTGCCTTGGAAATGGGAAAAAATGTGGAGCTCTTCCGAGAGGAGGTCGTTTCAAATGTTACTACAGACCTTTGGAGCATCGCATAATTTGTGCTCCATCCACCATCGGATGTAACTTGTCTATGGGGCCGCACCAATCCATAGCATCCAGTGCGATGTAGTCTCGTAAAAAAAGCTGCGCGTGTGAACTTTGACAGGGGGTGATCGGACCTCGCTCATGTGGGGAAGCCGATGATGTCATGCTGATGAGCGTTACGAAGCTGGTCGGACTATCTTTCGCTCTCTCATGGGCAGATAATGCTCTCTAACGGCAACTCACCACCAACGTCTGCTTTTGTCTATCCCGTACGCTCGTTGCTCAAAAGCGAGATTCAACCGGCTCCCTCTCCTGTCAATGCCGTTGCCGTCGACATCAGCGCTCGCGACGACCCTGTCGCGCAAAGCACAAAAAATGACTCTGTAGATCCGGGTAGCGCATCTGCGGCCAACGGCGCTCCAGATGAACCACCGACGCTCCAATCCGATCCTCAGCCCAAGGCCAAAGGGAGGAGAAAGCGTTCACGAAAAAAACACGACCGCGCGAATGTACCCAATCCTAACTACAGGCATTTCCCCGGCGAGGACTCCCCCAAACTCCGCAGGACATTCACCGCAAGCCTGGGCCTGGTCAAGCAACCTGATGTTGCCCCTGAGGCGTTGGCCTTCCTTGTTGTCTCCCCATCGGTTTCCGATGTTGCAGCTCCTTTCGCGGAGACGAAGCCTCTCGATGGACCCCCACCCGAGCCTCGAGCGCGTCCGAAACAGGTGCCAGTGAGCGACGATCCTCTTCCCCCCGAAGAAGTTCCGGACGTGCCAGGTCTCGAATGGAATCCATCGCAAATGGGGGTCGTTCACCTCGCGCCACTCCCGAGCTCCTCTTCGCTGAGTTTTGACGAAAGGGCATCGTCCGTCGTCTTCGGCTCCTTCCGTGGCCATCCCAGTCAACGTAAATCTCCCAGCCGAGCGGGATCTACACCGTCTCTTCCCGAGGCCCCTGTCGGTGCCTCTGACGGCCAGGCGGGCGCTGCTCAGTTACTAAGCGTGGCTCGCGGTGGTGCTGCAAGTCGATGCTCAGCTAGCGAGTCACATTCAGGCACGGGCTCGCTGTCAGGCTCAGATGCCAGTGATGCGTCGCAATTGATTGCGGTCCGCTTTCAGCATCACCAGGACGAGAATGGACATCATATCATAGTCGGACGGGAGGGACAACTGGCGCGGTGCGAAGACGAGGTGAGTATCTCGCCTGGATCAAGCTGTTGTTCGAGCGTTCTTTAGCCTATCCGCACTCCAGGTGCTGTCCAAGGGTTCGGCGTTCTCATCGTGGTGGATGAGTTGGATGATATGCTCGTTGTTCGTCAAGTATCAGAGGTGCGCCACATCACGATTCAACCTCGTCTTGTCACTGAAGACCATTAGAATTCCGAAGAGATTCTAGGCCTACCTCCACATTACCTTTTCTCCTTGAATTGTTTCACCGACACGCTTTCGGACTCCCAAGCCGGGATACTTTGGGACAACATCCAGTTTCTATCTGATTCAGATCCCAACAGCCACGACGAAGAGGCATCTCCACACGTTTTTCTCTTGACTGGGTGGGGAGCCCCGGGTAGCGCTTCGCCGGATGATCAAGAGGCGAGTGGAGGGCGACGCTCCTGGACATGCTGGTGCGCAGTCCATCGCCCATCAACTTCGGCCCGACACGTCATCATGGAATTCGAGCTAGAGCGTGACGTTCTAAATCCACTCTATCCCTCTTTGGTAGAAGCGGTTCCGGAAGTAGGATCTCCTGACACGGGCTCGAGTGGTGCGAGTGACACGCCCGGGAGTGCGAAAACCGTCGGCGGTTCCACCGATTCTTCGTCACAGACGCTTACACCCGGTATTTCCGACGTTCCTGCGTTTGAGATTCCAACCGGGCCTTCTGCGGAGGACATCCTCGAGAGTACAACGTCACGCGCCAAACCTCTACCGGCGCTCGAACGATTGCGACGGATGGCTAGACCGGAACTAGTCTCACCTGGAGGCGCAAATCCTCGCTCACGTCGTAGGACAGCTTCTGGTTCGAGCACTGGAGGCGTGGGTATGATGGACGTGTTTGCCGTGATGGCCCAGATCAACGAGCAGCTCGGACAAGCTCCTGACTTGACTGCCTTCTTGCAAGTTGTCGTTGGAGTCATCAAGGATCTTTCGCAGTTTCACCGGGTGCTAGTGTACCAGTTCGATGAAGCATGGAATGGTCAAGTCGTCGCGGAACTATTGGACTGGAGCAAAACACACGATTTGTATCGAGGCCTTCATTTTCCCGCGTCCGACATCCCTGCCCAGGCCAGGCAACTTTACGCGATCAGTGAGCTCTTGCCAATTGACGCGATAGCCGACTAACCGGCTGCTGAAGACAAGGTGCGACTTCTGTATGACCGGTCGCAAAGCACCGCCAGGATCGTTGTGCGCAGCAAAGATGATCTGCAGACACCAGTGGTATGTGCCCTTGCGATTAGCAGCTGATACATACTTACAAAATATGTCCCAGGATATGACGCATTGTTACCTGCGGGCTATGAGTCCTATCCACATCCAGTGTTTGCTACCTTACTCTTGTATCAGTCTATTTGGCTGACCTGATTCAGATTTGGAGAATATGGGTGTACGAGCCTCGATGTCTATTGTGTGTCCAATCACTTGCGATTTCTCAGGCACTGACTCATCGCATGTAGTCTATCATGAGCTTCGGGACTCTCTGGGGTCTTGTTACCTGCCACTCCTATGGGGCTCAGGGAATGCGAGTCTCTTTCCCTGTCCGACAGATGATGCGATTGCTCAGTCAGTCGATATCGCGGAACATCGAGCGATTGAGCTATGCTCAGCGTTTGACCACGAAGAGACTGGTGAGTGCCATCTTTCCATCGAAAGGAGTAGTATCGAATTGGATTCCAGATCAATACTATGGCGTCTGACAATCATCCCGTGAGCTGGCTGTGTTCCACTCTTGCAAGCACCACACATAACCGTTACAGACTGGCTACATTGTTAGTAACGCCGATGACCTATTGGGCCTGTTCGATGCCGACTTCGGGGTACTTGTGGTCAGTTGCGTCTCTGTCTTCTAGGTGCACGGATGAGACGTTTCTTTCAGATAGGACAGGCTGCCAAGATGCTCGGCCCCAGCGACTTTGGACAGGAGATTTTGATAATCGCTGAATACTTACGTCTGAAGCAATTCGCGTTAGCAACTCTTCACCGTTTATCTCGTTCGACCTTCACGCGTTTCTTAGAACAATCCAAGTCACGCAACAGGTCAAATCGGACTACGAAGAGCTGGTCTCGGCTGGGCTAGATGTCATTGCCGGCATGCTCTATGTGCCGTTGTCCAGCGAGGGTAAAGATTTCATCTGCTTTCTGCGCAAGGGACAGCCGCGACATGTTCACTGGGCTGGCAATCCGAACGCGAAGACGGCCATGGAAACGATTCTCCAACCACGCAAGTCATTCGCTGTCTGGTCGGAAACACTTGCTGGGAGATGCCGAGCTTGGTCATCTGAACAATTGGAGACGGCCGGTGTCCTGGCGCTTGTTTACGGAAAGGTGTGTCGGTCGGATTGGATACTTTCAAGGCTGACCTCTGGTTCGAGTTCATTGAAGTATGGCGGCAGAAAGAGAATGCATTGCAGACGACTCGATTGACGAACTTGCTACTGTCCAATGCATCGCATGAAGTCAGAACACCGCTAAATCATATCATCAAGCAAGTTGCCATTGTATGTTGGTGTGTACTTTCTAATCGTGGGCTCAGTTATCTCGAAATGGCTCTCAATGGGCCCTTGGACGACGAGACTCGCGACAATCTCAACAGATCACACGCTGCATCCAAGGCACGTCGTTTCTCGGAAATGAGGCATTCTGTAACCACGGTTTCTCCAGAGTCTGCTCTTTACAATAAATGATCTGCTGGTACGATAATTGCTGCATACAATTGCTCACGATCATGAAATCTCCTCAGGACCTCACTCGATTGGAAAGTGGCAACGAGACGTCGTTCAACGAACCATTCGACCTTCAAACGACCATCGAGGATGCCATCCATCTGTACCGCAAAGAGGCCGTCAGACGCAATCTGGACTTCAATCTCAGGCTCGGCAAGTCGCCGAAGATTGTGGTCGGTGACATCAAGAAGATCAGGACAGTCGTCCAGAACATAACGGCCAATGCCCGTAAGTTCCGAGTCTCATTTTATGGCTGTGGAGCATCTTATGTGTGCCATGTCAGTGAAATTCACGTCGTCTGGTGCAATCTCTGTGACATGTGCCATTCTGGAAGAACCCGAGGGTATCCGTGGTCCGGATCAAGTTGCTGTTGAGATTATCGTGGAGGACACAGGATGCGGGATTCCGGCTGATAAACTGGCCACTTTGTTCCGTGAATTCGAGCAGGTTGAATCGATGGAGCCCTCTGGCGCTGCTCCTGGCGGTGTTGGTCTGGGTCTGGCCGTTGTCGCCAGGATCGTGGAGCAGTAAGTCGTTTTCGCAACCGCTGTCGCCATCAAGTCTGATTCTTCACTAGACTGGGTGGTCAGCTACGCGTCGAATCAAAAGTGAACGAAGGCAGTTGCTTTTCGTTTATGATTCCCATGGCCTTGCCGCAAGAGGGGGATAACTCGACTAGCTCATCACGATCGTCGCTTTCTCGCTCCCGAAAGCCCAGTTCGGAGTCCATTCACCAGATCGATTCGCTCGTAGAGGCCCTCTCGTCGAGCCATATGGTTCCAAATCCCGGTCATCCGCTCCTCAAAAGGGCGGATTCTTCATCGTCAGGGGAGCCGATGCCCGTGCAATCCAACAGCAGGCCCGGGACGTTTGATATCCCAGATTCTAATATTCCAGTCTGCCCGGTCAAAATCGACGGCTACACAATGGACTCGCCGATCCCTATGACCCCGTCGAAAGAGATTGCACCCTTCGATTTCCGTGCAGTCACTGACCATCCCTTGAAATCCCCTGTCGTTTTGAAGCCGATCTTGCCACCCGCGGTCGACTCGATGGGGCCATCCCATCTTCGCGTGCTGATCGTCGAAGACAACGACATCAATCGGACTGTCTTGGCAAAGCGCCTCAGGCTGGACGGACATTCTGTGGTGACAACTACCAATGGGCAGGAGGCACTGGACAAAGTGACGACGGATAGGTGCTTTGATGCCATCTTTATGGATATCCAGTGCGTTGAAATACACCTTTCCTGCACTCAACCAAGTTGACCCAAACACATAGAATGCCCATCCTCGATGGTTACCAGGCTACTGAACGCATCCGCGCCCTCGAAAAGGCGACGCCCGATGATGGGTCTCAGTCATTGGCCAAGGACCTCAACGGTGGACACATTCCCATCTTTGCTGTCTCCGCTAGCTTAAAGGAGAATCGGCGAGAGGAGCTGGCCGACTACGGGATTGACGGCTGGATCTTGAAGCCCATTGATTTCAAACGGCTCAAAATCATCCTCAAGGGCGTGATTGATCTGGACCAGCGACAGGCGAATCTGTATCGTCCGGGATGCAGCTGGGAAGCGGGTGGTTGGTTGCTCGAACGCTCCAGCCCCCCTGGAGAACCGCCACCCACGTGAGCGACTGGGTCGGCTCTTGGTGTTTTATGAATCCGGATTTGTTTTGTTGCTAACTCACTGAAACTGTAATTAGGACGAGGTTTTCCCACACACGACGAAATGCCCGACATTGTATCATAGTATACACAAAGTATCATAGATTTTGTAAGCAGCCCTTGCCAATGACCACTGCCATGATTGCAGTTGAACGAGAGCTCAAAAACCTTGCCTTGTGGCTTGTCGCCATCCTTCAAGGGCCAGTCTCTGCGTTTCCCAGATATGTTCGCTCAATTCCCTCCACCGCGCAGCATACACTGTCTGGATCGTTGATTCGTCGATGATGAAATCCAGGTCGGTCGCAACCAGCCGACGTCCATGTCTGCCGCTGCCCGCGTAGGACAATTCCACCCAAAGCCTTCTTAGTTCCTCCACGATTCGCGGGAGCATCCAGCGGCCCTTGAGCCCGAACCCCTTCCCCACGACGTAGAACGTCGCGCGGGTAGCGTGCATGCAGACCGGCTTCCACGTCCACACCCTCGCGCACAGCACGTCGAGGAGGTACATGAGCTGCGCGGACACGAGCCGCTCGGGCTTCGAGAGCTTCAGCACGACCGTGCCGCCGAGCGCGGCGGAGGCGAGGCCGACGAGGAGCTGCGAGACGAGCAGGCGGTCGCCGACGAGGTACTCGAGGCCGGGGCTGTCGCCGCTCCGCAGCGGGTGCCCGTCGATCGTGACGAGGTCGTACTGGGCCGCCGCCGCCCGGTCGTCGGAGGCGTGCGGCTGTGCGAGCTGTGGCGGGAGAGGGCGCAGGGAGGGGTCCGGGATGGGCCCGATGAAGTGCGGGCCGAGCTGGTACTTGGTTAGGTCCGCCCAGATGAGCTCAAAGCGGGGCGGGTGGCGGGGGTCGGCCGCCGAGCTCGTGAGGACGGCGGGGTCCAGCAGGCACGCATGCCCACCCTGCTCCACGGGGAGGGAGATCCCGACCCCCGAGGCGCGGGGGTTCTTGTCCAGTATGTACGAGGTGAATCCGCCGGGACAACATCTAGCAAGTGATAGTATGAGAAGCAGATTATAATCTACCCGAGACGTCACTGATAATCAGACCCGCACACGAAACTTACCCGAGGTCCAGGAAGCGGATGGGCACGGCGGCGGGAACGCACAGCGTCATCTCGTCGATCTCCTGCATCACCTGCTGCATCGAGCGGAACCAGCCCTGCTGGCGCACGGGGTCCTGGGCGTCCGCGGCGCGTTGCTGGAACTGCATGTGCGCGCGCTCGGCCCGGGTTTTCTATGTGGTCATCGTCAACGCGGGCTCAGACATCTCGGAGCCGCAGAGAGCGCACTGGGTGTCGCACGCGGTCGAGGACTTGGAGCGAGGGATTGTGCAGCGACAGCTGGTGGTTCATCGTCACTGGGGGTGCAGGGAGGGCGGAGCGCTGGCGGTGCCCCACATACACCCGGCGAACTTATACACGCAGATTGGCGCCCGCAGCAGCTTGGGCGCCAAACGAAGGACGGTAATGAAAGAGTGTACATAAGGTAATGAGATGCGGTGCTCGATTTCCTTCCTAATGCAGGCCGCTGGCGGCGTAATACACATCGACGTAGTTGAAGCCACCGCAGAGGCCCGCCGCTGCATTCCTGTCAGCACACATCGAGAATGCAAGCAGAGCGCCACTCACAGTCTCCGGAACAGTGGTACTGGCAGTTGGAGCTTGCGGTCGCCGTTTTGGAGGTGAACGTGGATCCGCAGAAGCATTGTTGCTGCGCGCGACGTGAGAACTCGGGACGGGCGGATAGACATGGGCACCTGACGCACCCCAAACTCTAGACCGCCGTAGACATAGCCCTTGCCGCCACAGCCTGTCAGACACGAGCTGACGGAGTTCGCTGGTCCGTCGTACGCTCCATACGAGAGCACCCTCGCGTTGGTCGCATCGTTGTAGCACCCCAGATGCGTCCACGCTGTGCTTCCCACGGTCGTGACGCTCGAAGTGCTGGAGCTGGCGGGCTTGTAGTACACACTCGCGTAATTGAACCCGCCGCAGTTGCCCGACCCAGCGGGGCACGCGTAGCTGCAATGCGAGTCGGCGACGGCGGAGACACCGGACAGCAGCGATGGCCCGCAGAAGCACTGCTGGCCAAACTCGACCGCAGCGTACGAAAAGCCTGCCTGCGAGCACGTGGTCTCGCACGATGCGATTGAGTTCGACGAGGCAGAGTCTACTTCGAGCGCACTGACGATCCGGCTCGACGGGCTATCGGGGTAGCACCCAAGGTAGGTCCACGATCCCGTGTCGGCGCCTGCTGGAGGCGTCGTGATAGGTGCCGCGCCACCCGAAATAGAGTAGATGTTGATCCTATTGGCTCCTCCGCAGATCCCAGACGCCGAGCCAGCAGAGCATGCGTAGTTGCAGCTGTCGCTCGTCGCTATCAATGAACTGGCAGGGGCTGCATTGCCGCAAAAGCATTGGCTCTAAGTCGAATGAGCGGAAATGGACTGGAAGATGAGACCAAAAACAGACCCCGAATTCGACACCCCCAAACGAGTATCCTGCGTTGGCACACGACGTCAGACACGAGGTTACACCGTTGCTCGGACCCTCGTAAACTTGCGCAGGGAGAACACGCTGATTGGTCGAGTCAGCGTAGCAGCCGAGGCTCGACCAGGACTGGCCGCCGGCGGTGACTGTCGCGGCAGCAGCACTGGTCGTCGTCGTCGTCGTAGTGGCTGTGCTCGCAGAGGACGCCTTGTAAATGTTGATGGCGTTGAAACCGCCGCACTTTCCAGCTGGGTGGTGGATCAGTGGCAGCAGACCCCCGATCGGATGCTACTCACCGCCGCCGGGGCACGGGTAGCTACAGTGAGACTCGTCCCAGGTCGATACCCCCCTGAGTGCCCGGTCAGCCACGGTCTCGACCCACCACAAGCTCGGATCACTTACGAAGCGATGGCGGCGGCGCAGAAGCACTGCGACCCGTACTCGACTCCGGCATAGAGATACCCGGCAACCTGGCACTGCGACTGGCAGCTGGAGATGCTGTTTCCGGTGGACGAGTCGATTTCGATTCCTCTCAGAGTACGGGAGCCGCCGTTATCAGTGTAACAGCCTTGGTGATAAGATGAGTTGATTGAATTGGAACCGCATCCGGATGCTTCATACCCTGATAAGACCATGTCACTGTCGCGGCCGAAGTAGCTGCAGTGTCGGTGGACGTCGACGTAGTTGTCGTCGTTGTAGTGGTGGTTGAGGTGGTTGTCGCGGTAGTCGTGGTCGCAGTACTCGTCGTGGACGTGGTCGTAGTCGAAGTGCTAGTAGAAGTGGTCGCAGTCGCAGTGCTTGTAGTCGCAGTGCTTGTCGCGGAAGCTGCTCCAACATAGACATTCAGATTGTCTGCGAAAACATCAATATAGCTCCATGTCATCCATGTGTGCAGTGCGCTGACAAAGACTGGGCACCGAGACATAAGTGAAATCCGTCGGAGACGCGCTCAAAACGGTGGTAGAGCCCTAAAACGCGTGACGAGTCGGCATTCAACGATACCGAATTCGAAGAGCACTCGACCGACCTTGCTCATGGCCACCGAGACCCGTCCCGGCGCAAGCGGAAGCTGCAACAGATTCACACCGGCTCCCAGGTTCGTCCACGTCTGCGACGAGCTCGTCCCGCTCTTCAACGTCACGGTGCACGTCGAGGAGCAGAACGCCGCGGCCCACAGATAGTCGGATGTCCACGCATAGTTGGCCGGCTGCGGCAGCGGGTCGGCGGTCGCGGTCGCATCGTGGGGATGCGGCCGAGCCCAGAAGTATATCACATCCTTGGTGACGGTCGGATAGACGCCGGTCTTGAACGCCTGGATGTAATACGCGCTCATGTCCATCCAAGCGGTGTGCGGGAAGTTGTCGGCCCAGGTCGTCCCAGTGGGCTGGTTGGCTGTGACTGGTCCGAAGCTATGTGCAAGTTGTTCACCATTGATCGAGGTGAGAAGGGACTGAACGCACTAGTCAGATTCACCAAAGTCGTTCCATGTGACCATCTCCACGAATGTCAGTTGATCGCGCATCTGGAAAATCTGGTTCCAGCGGTTGTTCAGAAGCCAGTCATCGGAGCGCAAAATACGGTTTTTGTCGGAGAGGTGGGTGCTGGAAAGTGCAGATCAGCAACAAAAAACGGCTGAACTTGACAGGGACAACATACTAGAACCATCCGCTGACTGTCGTAGCGTATTTAGATCCAACCTGACTGATATCTGTTTGTAATTAGCACCTGTCCACCCCGAGAGCAGAGCACACACAGTAGTAGTCATCAGCAGTATTCTTGTCCTGGTTGTTCTGGGACCAGGCACAACCCCAACTGCGACGTTGTTAGATTCCTAGCAACTGTGCACGCAGATCGACCCAGAACACACCAATACCACGAGTCGAAGCTTGACCACGCGCCAAAATTGCCCTCCAGCCCAGAGATAAACGGCATGATATATCCATTCGTCTGATCTTTCAAGCTCCTCCAGCCCGCGTCACCCAGACACGCGCCCTCGTAGCTGCTGATCATCGCCCTGCCGTTGACTTTGAACTGGGACGGGTGGCTCGAAAACTGGAGGGTGCGCTGGACGATGTCATTCAGGTCGCAGCCCAGGTTCGTGGTAAAGTCGAAAGAGATGAAAAGCTTGACGGGGCTCGATATCGCTTGTGCGGCGGCGTAGGCGTAGCCGATTTGCGTCCGTTGCCATGTGTCGCCGCCGATGTTGAGAGCGATGGCGTCGCTGGAGACGAGAGTCAAGGCGGTGAAAAGATGAACGTGTGAAGCCACCCACACTCCCTGTGCACCAATCGCTTGGATATCTGCAGTCCAGTTCGCTTGGGTATCTGACAGTAGATTAGAGAATGGGCCATGTCAGGGATCAATGGCTTACAGCCCCATCTATCGACGGGATGAGAAGCTGCTATAGATGGATAAACTATCGAGACTCACGTATCTGCGATTCCGGAAAGTCCTAAGTGCTAGCCCATGACAGAAAATAAAAACAACACGCACTGCCCACAATCTGGGGCAGATATGAGTTCCGGAGAGAAAAAAAAACACAGAGAAAACGCGTAAATCAACGCACATGATGCATAAACACATATTTCGTGTTATCGCGCTTCGCCAGGGCGGTCTCGTTGTCTATAGCGAAAGACCGATCCAGATTCCAGTTGGCAGAGAGTTTCGTCGTCCGGGTCGGCAGCTCGAGTTCCAGTTCCTCCAGAGAGCGTGAGTGGCCGGCATTGTGGAGACGGCGTCCATGTGTCCGAGATTGTGTCCCGGCAGTGAGTGAAAGAGCGACGAGGAGGAAGGGGAGCAAGGACTGCATGGGTCTACTGAGAGAAAGGACCAGACGTCTAATCTGAGGACGGCTGCAACCACAAGATATATATAAGCCATTGCAGTACCTGAGTACGACAAAAACTTAGGGGACACGGCAGATCAGGTACAGTGGCAGAGACTGACATGCCATGTCGTTGGATGTGGCGGCGTTGGCGGCTACATGCGCGTAAATTTCAAGGGCATGGAGCCATTCGCGGCACGGATATCCCAGTCTCTCTTTTGCTTTTCGAGCGCGTCGAACGCGAGCCCCCAACGGCAGAGAACCCGGGAGAGTAGCAACCGCGCATACAGGAGCTGAGAGCAGGAGAAGATCGAACGGCGCCGCCCAGACCGGTGTGACATCGCTAAAATTAATTATGGTTGGCGATCATGATGGCAGTTGACGTTTCTCGGCGATCATCAATGCGCGTATCGATAAGATGATAAAAACGTGAAAGTAGTGGCGGTGCCTGTTTCCGGCTACAGCAATTGCCTGTCCGCGGACACGGCAAGTACCGGTCTGGAGTTGAGTTCATGTTGCCTGTGCTACCACCACCCCTTCGGGCCAACGTCCTCCGCATTGGTCGACTTCATGGCGGATCTCTCCGCCGCAACTCGGCATTCGCGCCGCATCGGAAACCCGAACAGGGAATGCCCCCTCCTCTCAAGGGCATCCGCATCCTGGACTTGACGCGTGTTTTGGCCGGTCCGATGGCGACCATGCTGCTTGCGGACCTCGGCGCAGACGTTGTGAAGGTCGAGGAGACTTCTCGAGGAGATGACACGCGTAAATTTCCTCGTTGTATGCGTTGCTCGTGTGACGAAGGTCGATGAATATAGGCTCTTGGAACCCGCCGTCTGCTCCGACAATTGCCTCGGCTCCTGCAGAAGCAGCCCACTTGCCGTCGGAATCAGCCTACTTTCTCTCCGCTAACCGAAACAAACGCTCCATGACGGTACGTCGTTTCTGGGTGCGAAGACAATAAAGACAAACCATTGCAGGTCAACTTCAAGAAGCCTGAGGGCCTCGAGATCATACGCCGGATGGTGGCTCGGTCGGATGTCTTGGTGGAAAACTTCGTCACCGGCAAATTGGCGAGCATGGGGCTTGGGTACGAGGACTGCAAGAAGATCAACCCACGTATGATTTACGCGTCTATCACCGGTATGTGACTTTGAATGGTCCTGCCAGTTGCGTTTCTACAGTCTCAACGGCTGTCTATCAAGGATACGGACAAACAGGCCCCTACGCCGGGGCAGCTGGCTACGACGTCATTGTCGAGGCTGAAGCCGGTCTGATGCATATGTGAATCATGCCTATGCCCGTACCAGAGGTGACTGCTGACCTTGACAGAACCGGAGAGAAGGGCGGCCAACCCTGCAAAGTCGGAGTAGCTGCGACGGATATTGCGACTGGACTATACGCGCATGGAGCAATTATGGCTGCCCTGCTTTCTCGTCAACAAACAGGGAAAGGCGTGTGGATCGATTGTAATCTCTTCGAGACCCAGGTCGGTCTCTTGAAACATTGCCGCAGTGGATGAATGAATTGAGTCTGGTTCCAGATTGCTGGGCTAGCCAACATCGCGTCGAACTATCTCATCGCCGGCCAAGAAGCTGGGCGGCACGGCACGTCCCACCCGTCGATTGTGCCCTACCAAGTGTTCCCGTGTCGAGATGGGTTTATCATGTTCGGGGCGGGGAACGACCGACAATTCTCCACGCTTTGCACCAAGGTCCTTGGAAAACCTGAACTGGCGGTGGATCCCAAATTCAGTACCAACGCGGCTCGCGTCGAAAACCGCGCTGAATTGATCGGGATCATCGAATCTGTGCTGATGGAGCAAGACCGCGAGCATTGGCTGGGCTTGTTTACTGGCCTCGGGATACCCTTCGGTCCCATCAATAATATCGCACAGACATTTGCTCACCCCCAGGCCCAAGCCAGGGGGATGACGGTCGAGGTCGAGGTATGTCCGGTGCTCTTTTCTCGGAACAATCACTCGAACTGAGGCTTTGCAGCATCCGCGAGCAGGCAAAATCAAGCTGGTTGCGCCAGCAGTCTCTTACAATGGTGAGAAAATGGGCGTGGTGCGTCCACCGCCTTGGTTGTCGCAGCACACCACAGAGGTCAGTTTCATTCTCGCCTGGAGCTTTTCTTTGATTCAAATTGCTCCAGGTACTGCAAGAGCTGGGCTACACTTCCGACCAAATCCGTGAATTCAAGTCCCAGGGCGTGGTGTGATCTATTTGAATGTATAACATCAGCACAAGATGTCGAACTACCACATATGAACTCATTGTTCCTGAAATTGACAGCGGAACCGGAGTCTACACGTCACCTCTGTTCGAGTGATCCGAGGATGCCGCGGGCACACAAAAATAGACACAAGCAATCCCTTCCCCGCCTCTGAGATTCAGACTGGAGAAATTTGCGGTAGAATGAGACGAGCACTTCGTTGAACCTGTCGAAATCGAGGTCTAACCTGATTTAGCTTGCCGCTAAGCTCAACGATACGATCACATCGATCTCCGGCTCACTGATTGCCGCCAAATTAGCCCGAAAAGGGAAGCTGTTTCGAAGAACACTGATCGGCTCAATCTACGTCATATGAGAAAGTCGGTCGACTTTTTGCGCACTTGCATCAACTCACGATGACCGGCGATGCACCTCCACCAAAGGCCTCGGCCTCGCCGACGAGGACCTCCACTGATTCCGCCCCATCGGATCCTGCACCACCCGCCGAGTCGGATTCGAAGGATGACGCTGCTTCATTGCCAGTTCCCGAAGTGCATCTCCCAGCCCATCGTCGCTACAACGGCGCTCACATGAGACACGCAGGCAATCGATATGGAAGCGTTCAGTCAGATACTCGAATTGGACGAGGAAGGCTCGCACGACTTTTCGAAGGAGATGGTCACAGCGTATTTCTCCCAGGCAACAACGACATTCGTGGACATGGACAAAGCACTGTGCGTTCATGGTTGAGCCTCTGCATTCGCAGGAAGCTGACGGGATCCAAGTGCCGATGAGAATCTACCAGAGCTATCGTCATTAGGCCACTTTCTCAAAGGTTCCTCCGCTGCTCTGGGGATCCACCATGTGCAGGCATCGTGCGAGAAGATGCAACACTACGGAGAGCTCCGCGATGAAATAGCAGGGATCGATCTCAAGTCCGACGAAGCGCTTGCGCGGATACGGGTGCTCCTACCAGCTACCAAAGCCGAGTACGCGGACGCGCGGCGGTGGCTCAAGAAATGGTACGATGACCAAAGCGATCCCCTGACAGACGTGGATGACGACGACGACGATGACGACAAGGGAAAGCCGGAAACCAAAGCGCCATAAATTACACATCGTCTCGCGCACACCATTCCCTGTGATGGTAGCCGGTGCTCACATGCGCGCTATCTATTGCCCATGTCACGCCAAAAGCCGAGAGATCACTCTGTACTAGCTCACACACACGAAACAAACCTGCAACAACCTGCAGCAAGTGTTGATCCACTGAGTCTCCCTTCTGATGCCTGCTGCACGCCTGCTGGGGCCCTGTAATGGATCTTGTACAATTACAATCAGACCTTCATATCTTCTTATCAGCTATAATGAACTGATGTATCGGTCCGGATGCACTTTCATTGATACAATCAGACTTGGGCCTGGGTCACGACTCTCCATCAGCCCCCATGCACTCAAGATCCACGTGTCTTGTTTCTCACAATCTATCCTCGCTGCCCAGTGACTCGAAATCTGGGTTCAACTGCGATGATTTCCTCGTGGCTGATAGTGGGCACATACCCAATGACTCCCTTCCGTGCGTCAAGCGTCCTCTCTTCAGGGTGATTTTTCAAGGGCGTCAAGATCCACGCGCCTTTTTTCCCACAATAGATCTCCTCTGCGACCCGGTGACTCGAGATCTGGGGGCTCAACTGCAATGATTTCCTCATGGCTGATAGTGTGTACACATGAGATGTCGAAATAGCTGACTTCTCCTTGATGCTGTTCAGTGTTCACGATTTGAGGTCATTCTGCCAAGTACCTTTCTGTCATGAAACCCATTTGCGAGACAGTGAGATGATAAATCTTGGACCAAACTGTAGTCCGAGCTCAAACGTCGAACGTCGAACGCTGAGGTGTGGTCCAGACTCGGATATACGAGTCCATTTTGGTCATCCGGTTGGGGGGCAGAAGAATGTTTCACTTCAGGTTTTAGGTAGATTACCGCCGCGTCCTAATGAGGAACAGCCGGGGTCTGTACCACATACGTGCGTCACGTGTGCGCTGCGGGTATCCAGCGACCTTCATTCCACTCCTTGACTCTGAGCACCAACCGTCCCAAACTAACATCGACTCGTACGTAGTACAATGTAGTGGCTCCAAATGCGTAAAATACTATAAGCGACCGCGATCTTGATCGACCGTCACGCCTTCGGGCTCCATAAATAACCCTGAGCTGAGAGTTCTCAGCTCCCAGTGTCCCCGTCCATCGCAGCGATATCCCAAGCCATGGTACGCTTTTCTGCCTCTCGAAAACATCTGCCGAACGCAGCCTACAGGCTGCCTATTCGTCCCCACCACCATCATCTCCGAAGGAGCCATCTGCTACTTCGAGCAACAGCCCCATCGACGACGAGACATTTCAGCAATTCTGGAGCTCGATGACGACGGGTGTCACACCTACTCCCGGGACATGTTCGCTCTTACTTTGTGCAGGCTCCGGAGGCTTTTTCTGTGATGAAGACTGCACTGTGCGTCCACTTCTCTCACCGCCGTCGAACGAAGACGAGGCATCTATGCAGAGCAGACAAGGACATGGAACTTGTGGCAGACCGTGCACATTTCATCGCCGGATCGTCTGCAACACTCGGGATCGTTGG